GCAATGCATACAATTCAATTCACTTTATTTCAAATGTTTCAGGTAGGGTATTTTACATTGACATGAAAAGACACCCCGAGGGGTGTATAAGTTCCATGTTTAACATACAATATATCATTTATTAAATAAACAAACAGGTTATAGTGCTACGGCCAAGGCCATTTGTGTCCAAAACACCTAGATTCAATTTGACTTTAGATTCTTGTAGGGGACCCCAAGGCATGTAAAAAAAAGTTTGTGAACCCTTGCAAAACAGGCTCAAAAGTGCTGAGTCAGCAAATTTTATCATTTTCGAGTTGGAGTTTGACTATATGCTTGAAAGTATTTAATATCTCGTTTGAGGTTGTTGCAATTATAATGAAACATTGTTAATATATCAGTAAGGCATGTATGAAGAATTCCTGAAAGTTTGGATCTTATCCAACAGAATTTGGTAGAGATATAGGATAATTTGTCCTTGAAAGTACATAATTTCTCTTCAAAATTTCTTATTTAGTCGATAGTTAATCAGTCTTTTAAATAAAAGTAAGGGCCTATGGTGTATTAAACCTGATTAAAAACTTCATCAATGATGTTAGCAAATATTTCTTGCATAAGTTTCAATAAAAAGTACAAGCATCTATTTTTCTGATTTTTCTCTTTACCTTCCCCTAAAAATTCAAGAAGGGGGGCGTGGCACATTACACTTCAGTCGTTGAACTTGTTGGTAGGGTCAAATAGAAAATGTGTATCACTTTTGCAAAATTTGTTATTCTAAATAAATCTTAACACTATATGTGACATCATAAAATGCTAAATATATTCATTATCTACCATTTTATATTTTTTACAACTTATCATTGCCATACCCCATAGAACCGTTTAGGGTATGTGTGGTCAGCAATAGGAAATACATGTATGTGTACTAATAACATTCAAGTTCAAAATTGTATTTCAGATGCCATTCTATGCTTATGTTGTTTATGTAGTTATGGTATGTTAAGAATGAATTAAGATGATAATATGTTATATTACACTGCCCATCATAAGTTTTGTAACTGGAATTCCCCCTTTGAATCACTTATCAAAGCTTGTCATGCTGTTTGGCAATTTTAAACAAGACATCAAGCTTTTTGATAAAGCAATAAGGAACAAAATCGAGGTTCAAACATTGACAGACGTTGATATGTCATCATATGAAAACTTGCAGTTGCCAACCTTATGGAGTTATTGAGGGGGTGTATATGCTTTGTATAATATGTGTCATAAATTGTAGAAACCTGAAGCCAAAGGAAATAATAGTGCTTTACATTATCTCTAAGTGAATAATTCTGTGGCACTGGGTTTCTTGACATTACTTATATGATATGTGACATTAAGCGAGTTTGGTCCTAGGCCAACATATTCCAATGGCGCAGAATCCCACTCGCCCCATCAAGTCCCATCATGCCATATCGAGTCCCACAATGTCCCATGGGACCATGTTAACTTTGCCCCATGGAGTCTCATCGAGTCCCTCCATATACCATCAAATCCATCGGAAATTATGTAATTTGGTTTAGAAGGTTTTGTCTCAGTCATTTTGATCCCAAGTTAGCTGACACATCCCATGATCAAAAGTCCCACATTGCCCAAATGGAAAGAGAATGAACCTATGGGGCTTCGTGGGACATTGCCAAATGATACCCCATCGAGTCTCGTGGGGCTTCATGGGGCAAAGTCCCAAGGAATCCCAAGGAGTTCCATCAGGCAAAGCTCAATATAGTCCAAGAGTTTCCATGAGGTCCCACCCAATGATAAATCAATGGAGGTGCAACCATGTTGTATTGGTGTATGGTAGGCTTTAGCGAAGTAACTTCCTTTGTTTACATTCATCAAAACATCAAAAAGAAAAAGTTGTCAAAACTTTGTAAAAGCGTGATTATTTGGACTGATCTTACTTGTCTGCTACTTGTCTGCTTCAATCCTGGGGGGTTCATTGTGTACAAAATTTGGCGGGGTCCTAGGTTGAACCCTCAGATATCAATATATTCCCATACCAAAATGTCCAATTTGGATGTGTTCCCATACCAACTGAAATAGTGCCCAAAAGCCATACCAATGCCATACCAAATGTCAAAATATAGGACCTAGAAGCTTAAAATAAAGAGCATTTTAAAGATCTTTTCTTCTATCTCATGGTTATATTTTTATTGGTTATAGGGGGGGGGGGGTACGATCCCATCCCAGGCTACGCCTATGGACAGGGTGTATTATTTTGACATAAACAAAACATACGGCATATGTTCTACAGACAACAAATAAACAATTTATGACATATATACAATACGAAGTGTGCAAACTGCAATCAGGCTCGGAGTAACTCTGGCTCTTAATCATTTGTTGTTACAATTTGTTATTATATAGCTAATTATTTGCAGCAACAATAGGAGTCTCGTTGCGGTTTACATGGACCCTATACTATAAACCATGTACACCCCCTCCATAAGTTTGGCAACTGGAAGTTATTCTATGATAGCATATGATGGTCTGTTAATTTTTAAACCTTGATTATGTTCCTTATTACCATATTTCAGATTACTTTGATATCATATGCCAAAAATAAAAAGGCTTTAATAAGAGATTCATGTTACACGGTAAACATGATACAAATATATGCCATATCCCGCAACGAATATGGCATATTCACTTGCGGTGTATGACAGATTCACCTGCAGTATATGGCATACACACTAACCAATGAGAATGTGATACAGAAGTACGCAATTGTCAATTACATCTATTGAACGAACAAGTAAAACTTTATAAATAATTATTATATAATGATTACAGAATCAACAGTACAGTGTATAGAATATATAAACTTATGCAGAAGTATCACTCACCAGTCTCACGTAATAAACTTACTCAATCAATCAAGGATTCATATATTACTACTTGACGCACTAACTTTAATGATTTCCAGCGTAGTTTAACATTTAGAGTCGATTCTCGCAACCAATCAAATCAAGGCTTTCTGTATCACGTTTTCACCTGTGGTATATGTCATATTCACCTGCAGTATATGGTATATTCCGCAAGTGAGTATGACATATTCCGCAGGTGAGTATTGGGTATTCACTGAAATCGATGTATTGCATATTTACTGCGGAATATCGCTTACTCACCTGTGGAATATGCCATATACCACAGGTGAGTATCGAATATTCACCCATATCACAAATACCACGCAATCAGGAATGTGTGCCATATTCCGCGTAACAATTCAAAGAGGTTCGAGTTGCCAAACTTATAATGGGAAGTGTTATCATTCATGAACATTAACCATAACTACATGAAAAACATTAGGAAAGAATGGCACCTGAAATACAATTTTGAAAATTTTATTAGTACACATAGTACATGTATTTCCTATTGCTGACCACACATACCCTAAACGGTTTTATGGGGTATGGCAATGATAAGCTGTAAAAAATATAAAATGGTAGATAATGAAAATGTTAAGCATATTATGATGTCACATATAGTGTTTAGATTTACATAGAATAACAAATTTTGCTATAATGATACACATTTTCTATTTGACCCTAGCAACAAGTTCCACAACAGAAGTGTAAGGTGCCACGCCTCCTTTCTTGAATTTCTAGGGGGAGGTAAAGAGAAAAATCAGAAAAAATAGATGCATGCACTTTTTATTGAAACTTTTGCAAGAAATATTTGCAAACATCATCAGTGAAGTTTTTAATCAGGTTTTATACACTATAGGCCCTTACTGTTTTTTAAATGACTGATTAACTATCGACTGATTAAGAAATTTTGAAGAGAAATTATGTACTTTTAGGGACAAATTATCCCATATCTCTACCAAATTCTGTTGGATAAGACCCAAACTTTCAGGAATTCTTCATACATGCCTTACTGATATATTAGCAATGTTTCATTATAATTGCAACATCCTCAAATGAGATATTAAATAGTTTCAAGCATATGGTCAAACTCCGACTCGAAAATGATAAATTTTGCTGACTCAGCACTTTTGAGCCTGCTTTGCAAGGGTTCACAAACTTTTTTTTACATGCCTTGGGGTCCCCTACAAGAATCTAAAGTCAAATTGAATCTAGGTGTTTTGGACACAAATGGCCTTGGCCGTAGTACTATTATATGGAAACAAAAAAATGACAAAGCATAAAATGCATCATAGTAAAATACAAGTAATGAGAAGAAAGCAGAAGATCTAATAATGACTTAGCAAAACAAACTTTAACTTTCGTTCAAATGATTTGATATGTTTAGACTTTTTGAGATCAAGTGAAAGAGTATTGTAAATTAATGGGCCACTAGTTCCAATTGTTTGAAATTCACAATACAACGAAAATAGTCGACAAACACATGAATGTGAAATCGGACTTTCTCCTTTTCTGTTTAAGAATTTTCTGTCGTGATGAGTTCACTAAACCTTCACATTTGCTGGAAAAGTTGAATTTGAAGAAGCTTAAATTTCCTGGCCAAATCTCTACTATTGTTTGGTTGAAGCCATCATATTTTTAGTATAAAGTATTATGTTAAATAAAAGGTGTGTTAATTTAATTCAAAATTACCATTGTTCCAACACTTGACAACATAGTCGATGAGATATGTGAATATTAAAAACTCTTTTTGGCAATGATCCCAGAATGATTATATAAACTTCAAAGACAGATATAATTCTGGCATAATCATATACACTATAAATATTCGTACAATTTATCATATTTACGTAAATTTGACATGGAACAAGGTCGCTATGACGTATGAATGTGGATAAGGACAAAATGGTGATGTTTTAAAACTCTACTGAAGTGATATGAATATGTTTGATATATTGTATGTTTCATCAACCACCGTCAATTGAGTTATAAATTAAATTGTCCCGACAACCCAGTTTTTCGTGTTTGGGGACGGCCATATTGTGAGTTCCCACAAAATATATGTTAAAATATGGGTTACTTGTATAAATAGTTGATAAATTGAAATTAGTTTCGAACAAAGTACTCAATAACAAGTGTTTTAGGATGTTGCTGTTTTGTATTATTGCGTTTGCCACCCTCGCTACTATCGAAGCTGGTCCCAGAGCAAATGTAAGTTTAAACAACATAAAATACATTCCATCTAAAATACATCTTAAACGATTATTACCGCAGTACGTAAAGACATACAATACATATATGGACCATTCAAAATTTGCTTTCCTTCTTTGTTTAAATTTACCACTCCGTTTTCTTTAGGTTATATCTTTAATATAGCTTAGATAGATAAAGGAATTATCTATGGTTTAAGAGCATTTGTACTTCATGAAAATTGCTAAAAATAGATCCAACTTTACGATGAGTGTATCGGAACCTTGAGACAGTCAAACAAATGCTCATTCTTTCCACGCTAAGAAATTTCTTTGAAACTACATATTTGAAGTATTTATCAAGTTGTGCACATTTTCTGGCTAAAATTTCAGCAAAGTAACTGGACACCCCTGGATGACTATGTATATCGAGAGGACGACTATTTCGACTATGATCCAATAGAATATAGACCTGGCCTAATCTCTAACGTACACGTCCTCAACCTTACATCACAAAGATGGAAAAACGGTAAAGTTGAACCAATGGAATTAAAAAGAGTAAACAATGCTTATAAATCGAGTTACGAGAGGCGGTCCAAATGTGTGGTGACGACATTTGTCATTTCTGCAACAATTCTAATGATAAGTCTTATTCTGAGCATAACAAGTAAATGTTTCTATAGCAACAGCACTGTTGAGTAACAGGTGAAACTTTGAATCACTCTCCAATAGGTTTGATATCATGGGAGGGGGATATCCACGCAAATGGCAATGTACCAAGTGGTTTAAGCAAAGGACTGCAAATTGAGAGTTTTATGTTTTCAGAGTCGGTGACAAATCAAAGTATTTGGACTCATCCTCTTAGCATATTCCTTCCACACGACCTCCAATTCCCCGACGCTTGCCTACTCTTTATCCACGTTGGTGATATTGGAGATCCGTAAGTAACATTTGCCGGGATCATGAGCTTTTCTATTGAATGCCCATGCAAGGATCATGCAAAAATAAATGACTAGTCTTGTAAGAGAACTCTCAGTTCAGCCAATCTTATGCGTCAGATCCGTCGTCCGTCCTCTAATTTATTGACTTTTATTCATGGTCTACGTTTAATTTGATATTACTCTCTTGAGGGTTCTGAATTGCTTATAGGATACCCGATGAAGACAACGATGACTTCTACACCTTGGTCGGATTATTTGCAGAGCTCACTGGTGCACCTGTTGCATATTTGAGAAACGTCCCAAACCAACCGATGGGGTTCGTTGTAAGTATGCATAACTGAGCCAGTCCTATTTCCCTTTACCCGGGTCACCTCTGATTGCAACCCATACTAAATACTTATTCTTAAGTAAAGTGTTGTATTTGCCATGATTTTATCCAAAGATGACATCATTACCAGGTATGGAACAGGTATGATGATACTGCTATGAAACACCTGTATTTGCCTCTCGACGGCCAAGAACATGTAGCCTTAAACAGAATCCTCGCTTTTTTCCAGGATGATTCCCGACAATGGAACAGACGAGAGGATTCTATTATCGCCTACACGTGGAAGAAGTTCATCATTGACAACAATGCTACAGACCCCGAAATAATTATCTTCTTCCCTATGGTCAAGGTAAATACGTCTATTAAAATATGATTTTTTTCATTCATCAACACATCTCCTTTAAAATATTTGCCATATCACAAAATGTGGCCTTCTTGGATTATAGAAGAAATGTACGTGGAAGAGAACAAAGATAAAAATTGTTTATAAAGTTCTGTCAAATCCTCTCTAACACTGTCTCTTTTATCAATAGGCTGCCGTTCGAGCTATGGACGCAGTGCAAGAATATGCATTTAGGGTCGACCCAAGGACTGCCATCACAAAGTTCATTCCCGCTGGTGGATCTAAGGTATTCTTCACGTACTACCATAACTGCTATAAAGCATGGTCGTCCGCTCTGTCTGTCCAGACATCTGCTCCTAGACCGTTTAATCGTGGATCATCATATACTTGATGATAAACATACTAAGTGGGCCGTCAAAATATAGGTATTTTGCGTTTGGGGACTGCTGTGCCCTAGGTATTTTTGCGTTTTAACGTTGATGGGCAAAACGGGTAGATTGCTAGCGTTTATAAATTATGGGCGGGGTTCTTTCTATATGCATTTAGGCAAATTATTATTCTGCATATATTATTTCGATGTTTGAAGCTGCTCAGTGCAATTTACGATTTAAATGCATTTGAATTCCAGAGAGGTTGGACTGCATGGTTAACTGCAGCTGTTGACGACCGTGTGGTCGGAGTTGCCCCGTTTGTGTTCACTCTTCTCAACTTGCGTGATGTGAGTAGATTCTATTGTATCATTTCAGACAACCAACCTCATTTCAATTTACAATTTTTAATCATTGGGAATTGCGTGTTTCAATTGCATGGCTCTATATTTGTATGCCTTAGGTATTGCGCAATCAGCATAGATCGTTGAATGGATGGACGTGGGCATTCAGAGACTACTTTTGGGAGGGCCTCACAGCTGAACTGGACAATCCAAATACACAAATTTTAGCTGACCTTATCGATCCAATGAGTAAGTAATCACAAGTTCGATTTGTTAATAAATATTTTAAAACCAGTGAGGTGTAACATCTACGAATTAAACTTGCGACATCTTTAAAACACAATTAGTAGCGACATCTTTTATCATTATAGTTTTCTTTCAGGTTTTAATGACCGCTTTGAGACTGTACCAAAATATATCGTCAGTGCTGCCAAAGATGAGTTCTTCATGTTGGATGGAACAAGATTCTTTTTTGATCAACTAAAAGGGCCAAAACTCTTCTGGTAATGACACCTTCTATTTTCTTAAAAATAGAATAAATATTCAGTTCCTTTTTATTCTCTTTAAGTGTTAAAGTTCCATACGGCTCAAAGCTGATTTTTGTCATTTGTTAACAAGCACTCGCATTCAGGCATTGTACTAACGAACAACGATCATATTTTTTATAAAAGGATGGCTGAAAATGCACCCCACTGGCTCGAGGGGAAATATGTTGAACTTGCAGAAAACACTGCAGCTTTCTTCACAACTGTGATCAACGTAAGTTAAAAAATGAACTACAGCGAGGTAAAGCTACACGTTTTTAGAGAACTTGTGAGTGTGTCTAAGATTGTGTTTTTTGGGGATAAGTTCATCTCTTCGTTGCAGTATCTACTTGAATTCAAAGCATATAATTAAGTATAAGGATAGAAGAACCTAATTTCAAATGTAACCCAACTATGTCACAAATTAAAAAAGATATAATCGTCATTTTTAATAATATCCCCCCCCCCCGTGTACGTCACTTTTCCATAAAAACAAGGTTACAAACATTAGTTTACAAATTGGTATGTAAATGATAGAAATTGATATAATTTTTCAATTATTCTTTTTTAGAATAACCCACTCCCAAACAACAATTGGACGTTCGCAGTTGTAAGTACATTCATATTGCTTAACATGAAAATGGCAATATAGAGCCAACAAAAAATGTCAAATGTCCTGTTTAAGAACCCCCATTCTTGCTATTGAAAATTGAATGTACCAATATTCTCCAATATAAATCTAATTGTTGAGACTCGATCAACTTGAGTTCTGAGAAACTGACGAATCCGGATGTCATTGACTAAACATGGGGATGAAATTGACTTGTTAATGGTCGAAATTAAAGTTGATAATGTTAAAACATAATTATGAGACATTTTTTTAATGTTGCCTATTTCGCAAGTTTCATAGACAAAGAAGAGAGAATTACGTCTTATGGATTATTGTTAAGAATATGTGTGCGTATTTTAAATCATTTTAGAATGAAGCAACCAGAATCGGAACCATTACTTTCAGCACCGACACTGCCCCACGTGCTGTGAACGTATGGGTTGCCGAACCAATAATTGGTTCTGAAGTAGGAAATAGGTATTTGTGATTATCTAATGATTTACACTGTTGAACAAATAAAATATTGATCGATCAGCGTTCCAATAGACTTCAAGTAGAAACCTTGTAAAATCGGAATGGTGTTCATTGGGACGATTCCATACTACATTTTTTCATTCATATTTAATAAACTAGGCCACTAGGCCATTAGCCAGCCTTTCAAAAATATTTCAGGGGATTCACATTTGACAATTTTGGCCAAAATCACGTGAAATCCTCAGAATGGTGAAAAACTGCATGATTTTGAAATAATTTTTGAATCCCCCAGGCTACGAGCTGGAATATTGTTAGTTCTGTTGTACTTTAAGGCGTGACTTCCGCTGGCAACATCTTGTACCAGGCTATGTACCACCACCGGGAACGGACGTACTCGAGTTCTTCACAAGAAACAATACATACGATTGATTCAACGATAATAGCAATCTTCAGATAACAGGGAACGATAACGTAAGCTTTAAGGGTTGATCCGAAAGGAATTCGCGACACCTTAACATCGTTTGAAATCGATTTGCAAAAGTGACCCCTGGTAGGGCATGAATATGTCCGGTACTGAAGGTGCATCATCTCAAGTCTTTAAATTGTGATCCATGTGCAGAAGTCGTTTTGTTGACTTCAACACGTACTCCAAGAGGTTGGGGCGGGTGCAAGAGACGGGTCAACGTTTTTTTGTCAAATTAAGTTCCCAAATAAATTTTCCTCTTGTATTTCTCAGGGGATAATCACATACGAAGCAACTCTTGGATACCCCGACGCTGCCGAAAATGAAGTTTACACGGCATTCTTCATAGAGGCAAGTTTATTTTAAATATTTAGTTTTTAGAATATGAACGTCATATAACCCAGATAAGTAGACGCCGATACGGGACGTGGAAAACTACTAGGGCATTAATATGCAAAATGTCACCATCTGCCAGTTGTTACAGACGCCAAACACCGTCACAAAAATTGAGGCGAACTTTTGGTGGTGACATAACTTCCAACGTTCAGCAATTCAAATGGTTTTAGTTTTAGTCATTCCACAATCAAAAAAATGGTAAATAAAATGGTACTTTAGTATATGGGTTTAATTTCAGGTTGCTTTGCTTCAAATTAAATGTAAATAAATGGTTAATATTTTTAGGCTTCCTTTGCAACTCCTGACTTGGACGAATACCAGATATCAACCGAGGTACACATCTTGCCTAATACATGGCCCATTGACTCGTGTAGCGGGGAGGGATGTAGGGGCCAGTTGGTGTAGGTGCTGCCATCTTTTTGAGATATCGGTTGTTTGTTGGACCTAGAGTATACTATAAAATAAAATAAAATGAAACTAACAGATATTTTGTTTGAGTTTATTTTTAAAATATATATAGAGAATGTGAACTGCATATAAATGTGTACTGCATGTTAAATCAACAATGAAGTTGAGATTCTCTACAAATGGTCCAAAAAAGACCCATGGGCCTTGCTCACACAGTGAATCTATATACTCGTACAGGTATGCTCCAACATGCGACATTCTGAGTCAAAAATATCCAATTTCGCTTGGTCTATACCACACGCTCAGTTTGATCCTGTTTGTGCGAAAAATACACTAAAACTGTAAATATATACCACTGGTCAAATATACCTCTTTTAATATCAACATCCTAATTCTAAAGGAATAGAAAATATCACAGTATGTTACTGGGGTATGTTATAAGTATAAGCTGTGTATAAAAGATTCTGAAAATGACCAAACTCAGATACATAATGTTGTCACAATATTTTTGTTTAGCCCCACCACCGTGGTTTGAAGGAGGGGGTAATTTTGACATTTGTGATTTCCCCCATGAAGCTAAGGCTCTCAATGCCAGAGTCACATTTAATCTACAGAAACCATGCGGCTGCAATACGGAGAATACAGCATAAAATAAGAGATAAGCAGAACGATATAGAATCTCTATATGATATGTAAAGCTAAGGCCGCCGTAGAGCAAACGTGACTGAGTCTTTAATCATGGAAATGTATCCTAATGATATGTGGCAAGTTTCAGCTTCATTTACAAGAATAATTATTACATCCTATCTGTCCCATACATATACATTATACATATACACAATTCGCCTACATTCATTGTTCATGGATAAGGAATATTCTTTTTTATAAAATACACATATGCATAACAGTATTCAGTTGAACACATATAAAACTTGGAATGGATTTCATAATATCTGTTTTGTAAAATAGTAAAGATTGAATAGAAAATATGATATTCACACGGGTACATAAAATATCAATCTGCCCTTAAAACAGTTCTGATATACACAGAACCACATGTACAAAAATATCAAAATAGGTAATGTATACAGTGGTAAAGCCATGCTGTGTTAAAAATACACAAAGTAAACAATAGATTCTCAGTGTTACCTAGCTGAGTATGATACTCAAATAGAGTTGAAATAATTTATTCTATTTTCAGGTTATATCTGACTGGAATACCATACATGTAGCTAGCACTTTAAAGAGTGCCTATTTCTTTTTTGGGCTTTTGATGATGGTCAGGTATTTCCTCAATAGAATAATATATTTCTATAATATCAACATTGTAGGGAAGTATAAAGAATAGAAAATATTTTGCATTTACTACACCACAGTTTGCAAAACGATTTGCAACAAACCCTGTCACCTATTACTGCACAATAAGCAAGGATGACATCATGAACATAGTCGATATTTTGGAATATAAATGAGGGCTTATCATGGACAAACAGTGACAGCCACGTTTGTCATCTCCAATTCGGAAGGTAACAATAGTATACACACATGCTAATTTTGAGAATGATGAGAAATTTGCGAAAGTGTGGAACTACCTTAAGGTGTACATTGAGATAAATTCTCAGTTAAGCCTTGGGCCATAAGAAGTAGATTCTTTGTTTTGCATCCTGGCAAAATCCAAATCATGCAAGAGTACAAGGAAAATAAACACAAACTCAAAAAACACAAACTTTTTTGCTGATAAATGTATACATTTTATGGGCATAAAAAGGGATGGCATACCGATTTGCAGTGATTACATACACATACATGTTATACAATATATTTAAACATAGCTATTATTCAAGGGTAAAAAATAAGAAAATACACAATGTATGCCAAACTAATTAATAACACTGTCAATTTTGACGCACGTCAAATTATCCGCCATTCAGATTGAATGAAATGTGATGGTACTTCAGACCCTTGTGACTGCTATTTTTATGTGTTTGTTTTTTTGATTTACTCAAAATCGTGCAAGCAAAGGGACACAAAACAAAGAATCTACTTCTTATGGCCTTACTAACTTAGTACAATGATTAAACAGGGTCCATTCCCACTAATTTCCTGAGCTGTTCAAATATGAGAAAAGACACGACAGTATGAGGCCCTATCCTCATCCAGTTGGGTATGAAGCCCTTGTATAGTCCTAAGGGGCCCTCTGCTTGAATTGTCTTTATGAGGCAATGTACTGTACTAGAGTATTTAGCTGAAATGCAAATAGATAATAATCAATTATGAATCAAAACATTTTCTCATTTAAAGTAGATTGGAAGAACACTGATTGATCACTTTAATTGACATTAATTGACATCAATTTATAATTTATATTTAATCAGATAAAATATTGCCATGTTCATTTTTTAGAAACTTTCAGGGGGTTCACTTTCGACAATTTTTGTCAAAAATGGCCAAAATCACATAAAAAGTGTTCAGAATGGTGAAAAATTTACCTTTGCCTTTTTGATTCATAATGCGAGTTTTAATGACATCAACTGGAGAAGTAGTACATGCTGTCACAAATCCTGCCATAAATGATGTAATAAAATGTAGTTGCGTTCCTTCTGACATCAACTCATGGTTCAGTATTGAATGCTTTATATGGTCATATGCTGGTATCTGAATTATCAAAAATGTTTGTATCTTCAAAACATAATATGCAATCTAGAAGACCAAATAGACTAGATGCGAGTAGAAATAATCTTGATTTACGTCATTAAATATTCAAAATTCAGTCAAAGTGATGTCACATTTGAAATCTACATGTAAAAGTACATCTAGAAATATGGTTTCAAAAATTGTTTATCAACTTTGAAAATTTAATTTCTTTTGAAAATGTGAATTCTCGTTCGGGTTGATTCCCCATAGACCCCATGTTACAAAACCACAAAAAGTGAAATATCTTTTCTTTACAGATAACATTTTCTTTTACTGGACATATTTTAATTTGCATAACTATTAGATACATAAGGGTTATATGAAAATTGAACCACAAAATCAGATGTAATTTAAGTTAAAGGGAACTTTCTACTATACCCGCCATGCTATCTGACCCGAACGAGCCACCTGGTGGTGAAACTGGTAACTACTTACTCGCATCTGCATTATTTGTTTACAATTTTGAAGTGTATTATCATTTTCTAAGTTGGCTATTTATGAATATTCAAAGCCCTTTATCTCTTAATATAATACTTCTTAATTCCTAGGATTATTTCATTATTTTGCAAACTCTGTTAATAAAACTTGCACCATTCAATCGTTGTGATCATGTGCTTTCAAAATGTGGTGAATTTACTAGCAATATGGACACCAATTACAAATTGTAGTTTTCATTTACCCAAAAATTGGTCATTGATAGATGAAACCATGGGAGGATGGACGGATCCAATTAAACATTGATAACACAACAATTGATATTATATCTGACCACTCACCTGTGTGGCTGTAAGGATGGCTGCTCTCTGTACTGTGGGACCTACGCCAACATATAGTCCACGTATACCTTCGTATTTTATGATTTGGCGGAATGCATCAAAAGTTCCCGTATACCTGAATATTAAAAATACATGTCTTGCATTAGAAATAATTTTTTTTAATTTAAACTAATTTGTTTAATGGCTTTATGTTAACATTTGTCATTTCTTTTAATACATGTAGTTATATATGTTTATTATCAGAGTCTGATTTAAAGAAGATTTTCTCAACTATTTTTCTCATGAAATCTATGCGAGTCTTAAATCTTAAAGGCCCCATGCAAAGTTTGAAATATGTTTCTATCATTAATTTACTATTGTTTAGACTACAATATAAGCCAAAGTCAGAAAGTGGTTCAAACTTTATATGAGGCCTTAATTCTGAAAGTTCTGCTAATCACTCAACTGAGAGGGGAGTACTGTTATGGGACTTTTACCTTGGAGTCTGACCTTGGGGTAGGTTACCTTCAGCTTGCAGTCTGACCTTCACCAAGTCAGTGGGTGTGGCTATACTACTCCCAATTGCACCTGGAGAAATTAAATACAAGAGATATCAGTTCAGTATTAGAGGCTTTAGTAAATAGTTTTATGATCTCATAAGAAAGTAAGACAAGACATTAACATAACAACCTGCTATTTGTTACAGATGCAGAACTTGTGGTGATGACATCTAAAATGAATATGGACATAAAAAGCCATTTGATGAAAAAGACAAATGATGTAAAATACCAGTATGAACTCTGATAAAATAGATAAAATTGTTGACAGGAGGAGATTAAAATGGGAGAGTGAGGCAATTACGCAAACAATACCCAAAACCAACCTGAGATTCCTCCAGCACATATCTTTTTCCATAGAGGAGTATGGGCCGGGTCGGTGGCTCCAAACATACGTTTGATTGGCTCATAGGCTCCAAGGCGTATTGTGCTGTAGATGCCCTCACGTAATACTGAAGGAAACACACTGAAACAGAGGTCATGAGTTTGATCAGGTAGATGTCAAAAAAAATTTAGTAGATACAAAGTAGGCTTAGTGGTAAAATTTCATTCCTCATATTTAGTAATCCAAAACACACTGTAGTTCATCTAATTACATTACAGAATATTGCCTACCCTTTCATAAGTCCCCTCGGGCCTTCTTCTCTAACTATGGTGAAAGTTCCTCTTACAAAGCCTTTGTAATATCTATTATGGAACACATTCTTTTTCTTGTGTCCAGAGAGTTCATTATCCAGCTGCATGCGGATCTTTATTACATCAATTGGATTTGTGACTGCAAATCATGAATGAACATTAAAATGCAAATGAAGAAAAATGCACACAAGTTAAACTTCATCTTGCCATGGAAACACGGATAGTGGGAAGTCCTCCATCTAGGAGGTACAGAGAAATAATACCAGAACAACGGCAACGCCAAAGCGTAGCGAATCCCATCGAACAGCCATGGATGGCATTTTTACAAACGAAGGATATAGCAAAAATGGTAGCCATTTTTCAAAATGGCCACCTTCTACCGAAAGTGTCATTAGACCATGTGCCATGCTTATAGTATTGACATACCAAATATGAACAAAATCGCTCCACTACTTTTCAAGTTATAGTAAAATACGTTAAAATGGTGGCCACCTTCTACCAAAAGTGCCATTAGACAGTGTATATACAGTGCTTATAGTATTCACATACCAAATATAAACAAAATCGCTCCACTACTTTATGATTTTGAAAAATGACCGCCTTCTACCAAAAGTGTCATTAGACAGTGTGCCATGCTTACAGTATTCACATACCAAATATGAAGAAAATCGCTTCACTACTTTTCGAGTTATAGTAAAATATGTTTAAATGGCGGCCATTTTTCAAATTTTTTTTCAAAATGGCCGCCTTCTACCAAAAGTGTCATAGGACAGTGTGTCATGCTTATAGTATTCACATACCAAATATGAACAAAATCGCTCCACTACTTTTCGGGTTATAGTAAAATACGTTAAAATGGCGGCCATTTTTCAAAATGGAGGCCATTTTTCAAAATGGCCACCTTCTACTAAAAGTGTCTTTAGACAGTGTGCAATGTTTATAGTATTCACATACCAAATATGAACAAAATCGCTCCACTACTTTTCGAGTTACAGCAAAAATCGTAAAATAACGAGTAAAGACCGCCATTTTTCAAGATGGCTGCCATGTGCTTCTTTCATATCTACATTTCTAGCTTTATTAATGTCCTATTTAATTTTTTTACATCTAAAACATATTGCTGTTACAATTTTACATATTGTACCTAAATTACTGTAAATTCGACACTAAAATGGCCGCCATTTTGAAATGAGCCGCCATTTTGAAAATTGGCTTTCGAGCAGAACTTCTACCCCATAGGGTATATGTGTACAAAATATGAACAAAATCGGGCCAACGGTATTTGAGTTATTGCCCGGACGGACGTACGTACGGACGGACAGACGTACGTACGGACGGACGGACGTACGTACGGACGGACGGAGGCGTTCCCTATATCCCTCCGAACTTCGTTCGATGGGATAATAAGTAATATATGGAGGACTTCCCACTATCCGTGCATGGAAAAGAGCAATTCCATTCAACTATGGATAGGATGAAAAACGCTGGTCTTCAAGTACATGTATAAAAATTGCATGTGGAATTCATAGATATATCCATACATGTATGTTCAGCCATTGGTATTTGTCAAAAACTCAGATGCGTGAAGGAACGTTATCAGTTTCACCACCAGGTGGCTCATTCGTGACAGATAGCATGACAGGTATAGTAGAAAGTTCCATTTAAAGCTGCTCTTTGCCCCGAAACGCAATCTTGGGTTTATATTAGAGCTTGAAAATGTAAAAACAAATATATGTCAACATATTGCGTTTTGGAGCGATGTGCAGGTTTAATTTAAATATTCATCAGCTTTAATAGTTCAAATTTCATATTACCCTTATATATCTGATATCTGACGAATTTAAAAATGTCCAGTAAAAGAAAATATTATCTGTTCAATATAAGAAATAATTAAGAGATAATTATAACATACATGTATTATAATGAGAGCCCTTATTGAGGAGATAGATACTTAGTAGATAGTGGTGATCTATAAGGGCTTTGTGTAAAAAACCTCCTACCTCATAGCCACCTACCCAGCTACGAGGGACATGATACAGTCATTGAAGGGTTCAATTTTAAAGATTTTTAATTCTCAAAATAGCTCAAATTATTAACATTTCTACAATTACGACTTTATTTTATGACTAAACAAATGACAGATACATAAATTAAGGCATATGGTACGCATTGTGATGTGTAATGACCCGAGGGCCCCAGGGGAATAATTGATTAATGACCGCGTACATAGTAGTGTTGTCGCGATTAATCGATACATCGCGATATACATTGCCAAAGCTGATTCTGGCGATGCATCGATGTCTGAAACAAAAACATCGATGTTTTTAAAAAAATTTAATTTGGTAAAAATCACCCTGTCTTATCTTATTTTGTCGGAATCGCTTACCTTTCTCATGTCTTATTTCATTTTCCAATGTTTTCTGATATTCTTTCGCTTTAAAACTGTTTTAGCCAGTCGAAATGAACCATTAATCAAAAAAATTTACTTTCATTTCCCGTTACTAGAAGTTCCCGGATGTACAAGCGTACTCTTATTAATATGTTCTGTTCACTATTTCAGTGCACTTTTCTCGAACTTTTTCTCGATGCACATCGCTATGTGCATCGATGTTTACTACTGAAAATTGCTGATGCATCGATGTACATTTATGGCACATCGCGGCAACACTAGTGCAAAATTGAACCTTTCAAAGACTTATCATGTCCACGGTGTCCGATACTACCCAACGTAAATCGTTCCGGACTTGTTTTTCATAACCATTGGGACTTGCTTTATGGAAAGAAGTAGAGGTAGGTTTGTAAATTTGGTTTTGAAATTGCTTTCACTTGACTTTATGTAAATATAATACAATTAGATAACATACCATACTATATACCCTATATTCAGGCACCCGCAAACGCCTTTTTTGTTCGAACCGTTTGCTATAGTCTTGTTATTTCGGGATGTGAGCGATTCTGCCAGTGTTTTCACCTATTTTGCTGATAATCACCAGCCTGCCTTGTATCCAATGAATACACCGATTCATAATGAAAGTAGCCATATTGTGAACGAAAATCATGATTTAAAATGGTTTAAATGAGTAGCAATTGTCGAAAGATCATTTTTTAGATTTAACCATTTGGACTTGACCTAAATATTCCAGTTAATGACGTTGACTTGTTATTGGAACGTTTCTGACTTGTGTTATTGGAACGTTTCTGACTTGTAGAACACAATGAACCATTTTTAAGTGTGGAACAGCTCCATAAACTTTATAGATTTCCAACAAATCACCATCTGAGTGGATGAGGAAAGTGGAAGAAGTTGTCTGAATGATACTATCTAAATGATCATCATTAATTAAACGTATTAAGAGATATTTGTCAAGGTTGAATTAGGGAATCATTACAGATGTTCTTTACTTGATACTTTCAAGGGGCAAGAATGCATGTAGAGGGAAAAGTTGATTTTTACTTTTTCTTGTGTTTTGCCTCTTCGCTTTTTTAAGGACTTCACTCGTCGCTATGTTTAATTTGCCTATGAAAAATGTGAGCATAAGTTTGCCTCAAATAAGACTTTAAAACACCCTTATTATCCCACCGAACGAAGTTCGAGGGGGATATAGAAAAGCCGTCGTGCAGTCAACTGGAAGATGCAACAAACAGAGTTACCAGCCTGGGAAATAAACTACAATGTCAAGGCTACAGGAGCAACATACTAAATTCGTATACTAAAGCTATAACAAGAAATAAATGGATATGTACTAAATACAATATGCAGGAGAATATCATCATGAAGGACTGGAAAATTAATGAGAGAAGAGAACATTAACAAATGAATATGAAACAGTATCTTCTCCGCAAAGAGGGTAAACTAAGATGACAAATCAGCATAAGACCAACAGTAAGGGGAAGGGGAGAGTTTTCCGGCCGGATCAAAACGTTTAACCCACCTATGCGCAGTCTCAAGTCTGTGGACCCTGAAGAAAGATAAGTAACATCGCAATCAAATCAAGACAAAGAAAGAAGAAAATGAATGAAGAAACCAATGCAGCAACAACAAATGACGTCCGTCCGTTCGTCCGTTCGTGTGTCCGGGCAATAACTCAAATACCGGTTGACGGATTTCATTCAAATTTTATAGGCTTATGCCTTATGGGTGTAGGACCTCTGCTTGAGAAGGAATTTTCAATATGGCTGCTTAATTCAAAATGGTGGCCATTTTTCGGAAAAAATATAATCTTTAATAATTCAAAATACTAGTGGATGGATTTGGTTCAAATTTTATATGCTGTTGCCTGGGTACAAAGGAGCCTAGCTCAAGAAGACATTTTCAAGATGGCCGCCAAATTTCAAAATGGCGGCCATTTTCGTAAAAAAACGTTATAACTCAAATGCCATTAAATGGATTTGGTTCAAATTTTAGATGCTGATGCTTAGGGACATAGGAGCTCTGCTCGAGAAAGGATTTTCAAGATGGCAGCTAAATTTCAAAATGGCAGCCATTTTTCATAAAAAAACGTTATCTTTGAAAACTTAAATACCATTGAATGGATTTGGTTTGAATTTTAGAAGCTGATGCATAGGGACATAGGAGCTCTGCTCGAGAAAGGATTTTCAAGATGGCAGCTAAATTTCAAAATGGCGGCCATTTTTCGTAAAAAAACATTATCTTTGATAACTCAATTACCATTGAATGGATTTGGTTCAAATTTTACATGATGATACCTAGGGATACAGGAGCTCTGCTCGAGAAGGGAATTTCAAGGTGGTAGCTAAATTTCAAAATGGCCGCCATTTTCCATAAAAGAACGTAACCTTTGATAACTCAAATACCAAATGACGGATTTGGTTCAAATTCTATATGCTGATGCCTAGAGACAAAGAAGTTCTGCTCAAACATAAATTTTCAAGATGGCCACTGAATTTCAAAATGGCCGCCATTTTTCGTAAAAAAACGTAATTAATGATAACTCATATACCAGTGGATGGATTTGGTTCCAATTTTATATGCTGATGTTCAGGGAAAAAGGAGATCTGCTTCAGAAGAAATTTCAAAGGCATTAGCTGAATTTCAAAATGGCTGCCATTTTTCATTAAAAAAGTAATCTTTGATAACCCAAATACCATTTGATGGACATTCTCTGCTAAAGAAGAAATCTAAAGATGACAGCTGAATTTCAAAATGGCAACCATGTTTCATAAAAACACAATCTTTGATAATTCAAATACCAGTGGATGAATTTGGCTCAAATTTTTTATCAAAACATGTTTTGTTCGGTGGGATTTGCTACTCCGTGGAGTTGCTGTTTTTCTAGTTGGCTTTAAACTGACTTCCATGCTTATATTAATGCTAAGCAAGAAGTTAAGTGAAAGTTGAGAAGAAATAATTAGTTTTAATCGTTATTTACTGTTAAAAATCTGAAGAGGACTTCCTCCTTTATCGAGGTACCATCATCAAATGACAGCTTTGAGCCTAATTTATCACACATCCGGAATCCATAATCCTGTGTTTTGTAACACCATATGCCTTTATCACGAAAAGGGACGTCAAGCCTGAATAAATCGGAGGGGTGGTCCCTCTTGAAGTGTTCAAAGAATATATTTTTATCTGCACTTTTAAAAGTGCATTCGTGGCGCTTGTTTCTGGGAACTGAAATTACAAAATGTGTGAATATTTAGTACCAGAACTCCTCTAAAACATATCATACTAAGTGCAATTTTTCCAGAAGCATAGACAATTCATCAAGCAACGAAACGTATAAATACCATTACAAGAAAATTCCCAATCGTTTTTTGTATCACGTTGTGTACAATTCGCAGTCGTTCAACTAGTGATTATAAGACAAGTCCGTGTCAGAATAACGACCATTCGCCGTCGTTAACTCCAACTTTAACATTACGGTCATTTATGGAAATTTGAAGGTACAGATAGTTAAAATATTAACACAATCTTTAATGTAGTGAATATTGTTCCACGTTGTTAAGTGATTTTTTTGTTTAAACATAGTTAAATGACACTAATGCAGATTTAGAGCATATTTCTGGCATTTTTGTTATTTAAGGTCAGGGTGCATGATGGAAAATTTTCTGCATTCCTCAATTGAGTCACATGTTATTTTTCAAACAAGAATCACTCCTTCCCTTCAGTGTCTATATCTTCCAGTTTTGCACAAAGAGTGCACTTATGTGCCTAGAAAAGACTTGTGAGAAGAATGTTTTGATAAAGTGTATAAAAAACAAGAAAATTCAGTGAAAAAAATCAGAAAATTTTCAGAAATTTTTTTCACTGAATTTTCTCATTTTTTATACATTTTACAAAACAAACCTTCTCACAAGGCTTTTCTAGGCACAGAAGTGCACTCTTTGTGCAAACTTGGAAGATGTAGACAATGTGGGGAAGGAGTTATTCATGTTTGAAAAATAACATGCGACTCAATTGAGGAATGCAGAAAATTTCCCAACATGCACCCTGTCCTTAATGCCGATAAATATGAACTATGGTGGCACGATCGCCAGAATAGATATGTGGGAATGAAAAAGAATGTTTCATGTAGAAGTTAGTGTATGTATTTTTCTAAACGATTGAATTATATTACCTTTTTGAGCCATTCTGATAAATGTCTCATCTCATTCTCCTACGAAATCAAGTCCAAATGGTTATGAAAAACAAGTCCAGAACGATTTACGTTGGGTAGTATCGGACACCGTGATGTCCAACGTACGTGGGTAGGTGGGTATGAGGTAGGTTTTTTTATATATAAAGCCATCTATTTTAGTAGTTCGACTTGCTTGGGCCAATTCAAAATTTCAGATTAGAGGATACAGTCTAACCCCCCCCCCCCCCTCTGCACTCTTATTCCCCACTAAAGGACCGACCCGTGCATAGAACAGTGTAAACAGTGTAAAAAGGTCCATGTGACCGACCTTTATAACGATATAATCCAATTCAAATGAGCCTGATCATCATTCATCATCCATGTTCAATGTTTTTTTTATAAAAATTATTAAAATTGCAATAAAAGACAGCAATTAGCTCGGTAGGATCAACTCTGTATTTCAATTCTAATTTCTGAAATTGAACTTGAAACATTCATGTACCTCCACCTGCAGTCATCATGGAGATTCCGGCTAGCATAAAGCGCATGGCATCTTCAGGAATACCACCATAGTTTACGTGCTGCTTCCTTTCCGCCATTGTTGTTTATGTCAAGGTGAGTAGCCAAAAACCTTTCTTGGTAAATTCAAATCGCGCGAAATTCAAATTTCAAATTGTCAAGTGCTCAGGGACTCAGGGTCTATAGTTTTCAGTGGGGGGCCCAAATTTGATACTGGAAAAATATTTTGGCCCCCCCCCCAACCAAAATTCGGGCCCAAATTTTGAAAATTAAGGCCTATTTTTGAAAAAAGGCCAAATTATGACAAAAAAGACCCATTTTAGAGGTCCTACAAAATTTTGTGGCCCATATAACTAAAAAATTTCTGGGCCAACTAAAGGGGGGGGGGTCCCATGGAGTCCGTTACAGGAATAAAAATCCTAGAGTTGCACACTTGCCAACCTAGAAAACTACTTATCGAATCATACGACCTTAGTGGGGGTCGTAGGATGCGATAAGAAAAACACTCCTTGTTCCGCCCCACTGACATGCTTTAACTAATTAGTAGACTCTCGGTGTCAGAATGGTAGCAAGCCCAACCAAGGGCAGAAGCGGTATGACGCAAATTGGTCCCGGTTGCATTGCAACTAACTAATGGGGGGGGGGGGTGCCATGGGATCGGACTCCTCCATGGCACCCCCTTTAGTGGGCCCAGAAATTCTTTTTAAATGTTTTGGCCCCTAAATTTTGTAGGGCCTCAAAAAATGGGCCTTTTTGGACATAATTATTTTTTTTAGGCCAATTCATAAAAAAGGCCTTAATTTGATTTTTGGTTTTAGGGGCCCAAAATTTCTTGTCCAGAATTATTTTTCCAGACTCACAATTTGGCCCTCCCCCTTGTTAATTTCTGCATCCGCCACTGCGCTGTGACCCAGAAAATATTTTTGATTTAACTTCTATTATTTATTTTAATGGCTGTCAATAGACTAAATTTATTATTAAGATATTCATAATTATGTCTCATCCATTTGATTAATTCTGCTGATATCTTAAAGTTGTAAACAATGCACATGTGACCCTTCCATCTAATTAAGTCAGAAAACCATTTTCATCCTGACCAATCTGAGTGCTTCAATTGGGAGTCAGGACAAGGTGTTATGCAAAATATCACCATCTTCCATTTGTTACAGAAACCAAACACCAACTACCGAACAATGTGCACAAACAAGTTGGAGACTAACAATATATCACCCACTCAAGGTGATATAAAAACAGTGTATCATGGCAAATAAAGGAATGACAAGAATTGCTTATGAAGTTATTTTATACTTTATTGTAAAATGTTTTCTAGATTATACATATAGACAAACTGAATAATATCAGTCATACAGTTATGTACTATAGCAGTCTATATTTAGCTTGATTATTAACTATACTAGTGTTTAAGCGTATGGAATATGAAAGTCTGACTGTTTCAGCTATAATACAGATAAAAAATAATCTCAATCTGTTTAACAAGTAATAATCATGCAGAATTTTTGGTTTTTGTATCTCTTTAATTCATTAGTATTGCTTGAGACCCTGTACCCCCCCCCCCCTTAACAACAACAGGATAAAGAAGTGTATGGTCTTGAAGCAAGACTTTAATTCATGAAGTGTAGTTATTGACAGGGAGAATAGTTAACTGTCCAAATAGTCCAAATATATAATTAATCAGGGGGCCATTAACAGAAACTTTGTAGAGTGAAGAATTAGTAAAATCCATTGTTCTCTGTGACATCATTATATCCATGGTTACAACAATTGATTAATGAATTCATAACTTTACGAAGTTCCTGTTAATGTCCCCCCAGGTCTCCTTCTCCCTGCTCTGTTAGCAGATGATTGTCAAAATCAGCATCCACTGTACACATATAAGCATATTACAAAATGTTGATTCACAAAAATCTCCAAAATGTTCAGAAACATGATTCTCAAATCTTCTCATTTTTGATTAAAATGTTCAGGTCCAGGTGACGGGAATACGTACTATTGATATACACTCAGTCTCAGAGACACTGCATCCAAATACTGTTTGATTTTTGTTTTGGAATGATTTCAGGGGAAGACGTTTTTATGTCTCTACTTCAGCGGCGGGGGTGCTTATTAGACAGTCCTATTTCACACTATGGCAAATCTCAGCTTTCAAATATCAATTCAATCCACTGAAATTTCAGCATCCGTAAATGTTCACTAAAATACACCATTGATCTGAAGAAAGGACTAACATTTACATTTACTAGCGCCCTCTTTAGATACAGACTGAGATTGCTTTAGTTTGATGTTAGCACCATCGGCTTCATTGTCTCTACCTGCGTCACTAGATGAGTCTAACATGTCATACTTCATCATCATCTCCTCAATCAAGAATCTGAAATCAACAAAAGGATATCATACAACATTGAAAATTATACGGACTTCTTGTCTATTTTCAGGCCCATAGCAAGATTTTGCCGAGGGGTGGGGTTCACTTTCCAAGAAAATTCAGGGGAGTTCCCATTTGACAACTTGGTACTTTGAAAAGTGCTCAGAATGGTGGAAAATTGCACTATTTTGAAATAATTGCTGTCCATTACCATTAGGGACTGACTTTTCACACTATACCATAACTTTTTTCTTAATGGATATATTATACTGAGTTTGTTAATCACAGCTTTTATTGATCAAATGGGATCTTAATGATCTCTTTTAGTTTCCATACAAAACAGTTAAATATAATATTTCTTTTAAAGGGGCAACAAGGACTGTAGAGAGAAAATTCGAAAATTTTTATTTTTTCTGAGCTATCAGGTCAATATTTGGCTTAACACCTTCTTTGACATACCTACTTTCTTAAAATGTTTGTATAAACTATCAATCTTGGCATTAAAAAGTGTAAATTCAGTTCAAAGCTTCTATAAAGGGAGTCACACTTATAGATTTTTAAGATCTACCACTTTTCAAGAGGAATATCGGCTGAAATAATGTTCATCCAGGGAGTTTCTTTGAAGATAATGAAAATATATGTTAGTCTTGATGAAATATCCAAACTTAAATATATTTTGACACTGGTTGATGATCATTGAATGGACCCCGCACTAATTGTTGCACCTTTAAGGTAGTTCCGAACAAAATAATTTTGAAATAAAAAAATTTGTCAATGTATTGATTAATAATTACTTCATTGCTTCTTCCACCATGAGGTTCTCTTTCACTGATATCTCCGTCCAACCTATAAAGTCATTCTCCTTGCAGAAATTTTCAATCTCTGGTTGTTCCACCTCTCTGTGCTGTAAGTCACACTGAAATAAGATTTAGCAAGTTTGGATTAGATCTACTAGCAAGTCCATAGTCAGAGAATGGGACTAAAAGGACTTGTGTGACTACCTCCTTCACAAAAATATTGACCAGGAGTATTATAAGAATTGAATTTTTTACTAAAAGATTTTAGTCTTGCCTCAGAATTGTGTACCCCCCCAGGGGGTGGTACAGTCTTGCAGCTAGACTATAAATTTTTGAATTGAAAATTATTTTAGCTTTTTGGGTCTCATTTTCAACAAGGGATTAACATCAAAATGTCATCAACTGGTGAACCACCAAATACTAACCACCACTGAATGCCAAACACAAACAGCTGAACACTGTCCACAAAAAAGGTGGAGACTATAACAATATATCACCACATTTGAACTTACCTTATTTGCCAACAGAACACATGGTATATAACTCCCATCTGGCAAGGTACATTTAGAGTCCAAGTCCATTTTCCACTTCAGAGAATTTTGGAAAGAGGTTTTCTGTGTAAGATCAAACATGATAACACATGCATGGGCATCTTTGTAATATACACGTGTCATAGAGGTAAATCGTTCTTGACCTGAAATTAAAGTGCACTTGACTTTTATAATATGAGTAATATTGAATTACTCAGATGCGAGTAGGTAGTTACCAGTTTCGCCACCAGGTGGCTGATTCGGGGGAATTAACATGGCAGGGTATTACAGAATTCCCTTAAACTTGAATATTCATCAGTTTTAGTGGTTCACTTTTCATATTACCTTTATGTATCTGATAGTTATACAAATTAAAATATGTCCAGTAAAAGAAAATATTATCTGCCCAACACAAGAAAAGATATTTCACTTTTTGTGATTTTACAACATGGGGTCTATTTTACATGTAGATTCCAAATATGACATCAGTTTGACTGAATTGTGAATTTTGAATGACATAAATCAAGATTATTTCTACTCGCATCTGGGATATTGTGTTTCTATAACTTTTACAAAATTTCAGCTCAAATGTTGCGAAATCGGAGTATTTTGAATATTTAATTTCAATTCAAGGAGGATTGGCTCCCAGAGTGCAACATCGATATTCTGTCCCAAATATGGGCATGTCGTGATACAAAATTCGAATTCAAACAGCCACCATTTTGTTCACTTCAACATTTGAATCCTGAATTTTGGTTTTTATTTCCTAACGAAAAATTTCAAAACTCACAAGAAATGATCGAGGAATTATTGGTTCGAATCTTTTGAACTGTTTATTTTGAATTTATAGTCGGTTATAATTTCAGAAAATAACGGCATTTTGACGTTTTCATTGTTGGAAAATATCGAGTTAATCCTCCTAGCTTGATTTCAATTGATGCTTCATAGTTATTGACAGTGAAAATTACACTTATGATAAAGAACATGGTGCATTACTATAATCAAATACAATGCAAAGTTGATATCGTATCCAAGTTATTAATAATATTCAAGGAGATTATCATATTAATCAATAATCATTACTTATAATGTACAACTTTATCTTTACAGAATATGAAGAGGAGTAAGTCCATAAATGAAACATAACTAAATAAACAACAATTTAAAATAAACAACTTTTAATAAGATGTTACATAAGTTCACTAAACCAGTTACATTTGCATTTCAGCATTGATCAGCAGGGATTTTTTGATGTTATTATATAAACCATTTTATGGCAGCTAATTAGTATTATATAATTTTTAGTATCAATTAGCTCCCTACTAATAAGAAATGAGAGCTAATTAGTCATTCAAAACATGATATACATATCAAACTTTTATGATAAATCGTGAATTATGATGTATCAATAAAAAATAAAATTAAAATTAAAACTCTCACCTGCAATGTCCCACAGCTGTAGTTTTATGTTGGTTTCTTCATTCCATTTTATTACTTTCAAGGCAAAATCAACTGCAATAAAAATATGGCAAAACAATAATCAAATACCCTTTGCATTCGTTTGACTTCACTTCTTAAAAGAGAGCTTCGTCTTTAACTAGACTCTGCGCGCAGGGTAATAATCAAAAGGAATCGACTAGTCTATTGTAGAATGGTTCGATGAAGTTCTGTATGGTGTGCATTATGCCAATAACATAGATGCAAGTAGGTAGTTACCAGTTTCGCCACCAGATGGCTAATTCTGGGGAAATAACATGGGGTCTATGGGGAATTTCCCCGACCTAAAAGTCACATTTTCAAAGAAAATTGAATTTTCAAAGTTGATAAACAATTTTCAAAACCTTATTTCTGTACTTTTACGTGTAGATTTCAAATATGACATTTCTTTGACTGAATTTTGAATATTTAATGACTTAAATCAAGATTATTTCTACTCTCATCTAGTCTATTGGAATACCATGTTATTTTCAGGTAAACATAAGTCAATCGGCACATAGTTCACATCCTTCAATTGTGCTTAGATTTGCATTTATAAAAAAAGAGGTTTCGGTGACCTACTTTGTACTTTCATTGTATTTAGAATTAATATAAAACATTGAATTTCTTTTCATTTCTTTTACATTTTAATTTTTTTTACAAAAAAGAGCATTTTGTGAAGCAATGAAAATACATGCTATCACACCTAAAAGCAAGTTATCAAAAGATCAGAATCCAGGGGTTTCACTAGAATTTCTAGATGCAAAATGTTATCTATGATCTACTATATTACTTACCACCAATCGTGCCTTTGTAATCTCTTCTGTATGTTTCATTAACATATCTCTGGACAAATGAAGTCTTTCCAACAGTAGGATCTCCAATAATTATAATCTTAAAAAGTTTTTCTGATACAGAGCCCAGGTTTTCACTCATTGTGGCTTAATATATCAACATGTAGATTTCAATGCCAGGATTCTAAATCAGGATTCTACGCACTGGAACTATAATGTTGTCAGAGCAGTTTGTGGATTTCGAAGGATGAAAATCATGTTCGGTCTGATATGAGCTGATTCACTGAAACAATAAAATATTTGATGTCATGTTATGTCAAGTACAGATTTCACAAATGATCATATGTGCCCATGCACCGATTTATGCACCAAATTGGTTGCCCAGATGTGCTGATAGATGCACCATAATTTTGCGCCATGATGCCAAAGTATGAGAGGCTCATAGGCGTGACTTGAACTGGAACAAGACTTCCTCTTAGGTACATTATCTAGCTAAAATAGCTAGGGGAGAGACCAACTTAAACCCAGTTTAGACCCCTCTGATATGTTGAAATCAAATGAAATCTTTTTTTTTTAAATCATTTTATTTAGCCTAGGGTTTACAGTTTACACTATTATATCCCCTAGGGATTGAAATCATATTCAACAGTCATCATTATGATGTCATCCATAACAAGTTGATACAGCAGTCTTAGCTGTTATTGTGGCTCGCCCCCAATGGCTCATGTAGTACAGCATCGAGTGGTAGAGCATCAGACATTGAATTTAGCACATCATCATTCATCTAGCTTGTTACAGCAGGCCAGTGTCAACTGTCCCGAAATTTGCATATTTGTCACGCAATTGCTAAAGAAAATCATGAATTAAAATGGAACTGGCTTGGCTCCTTGATGAGATATTGCATGATTTCGTCTAAAATTAAAATAAACGGCTCTAAGAAAAATGGCGATATTCGAAAACTAGACGAAATGTAGTTATTGTCTGACATTAGTAACTGGCTGTAAATTCTAAGTTAGCGATCCAGAAGATGTGAACTTATACATTGATCACTTCATGTGTGTTTTGGGATTTTTGGTGAGGTAATAAGACCAAAACTCGCAATTCAAATTGTGATGTGGAAAAATGGCGAACATTTGATTTCAAATTTTGATTCCAAATATTTGATAACTTTTGGCGGATTGATATGGAATCTCACACGTCCTTAATTAGTCACGATATAGAGGCCTTAGAAGAAGGTAAGCTTGCTACAGTTCCCAGGACAAGCATCCTCAGGGTCATTACATTTTATCCCGTTCCCGGACTATGGTCCTGTGAACATCTCAATCTTTTGCCTGTGCGATTACAACATGGGAGAATTTTTTACTGATCTTACACTTCAGATACCTACTTCAATAGATTCCTTGGTAATTTAGCATTCTTTTCGTGTAGTTGAATCCACAATTGTCTGGGTTTATCGGCAGAACGAAGACATTTTCGTTTTTGATCGCAATATTTGCGTGTAACATTTAACTTATTTCAACCGTCAAATTCCTCCATATTGGTACTTCCGGGCTACATCCGGGACAGCCAAACGGGGGATTCCCCTTTTAAATCCAACCGCCATTTTGAAAAGTGATGGAATCTCTCTCGATGAAAAAGAGAAAATGTTCCCGTTCTGCCGATATACCCAGACAATCGGCGGTTCCAATATATTAGAAGTTACATCTTGAGTTCTATAATGCATTGAGGTAGGTATCTTAAGTGTAAGGGGCGTAGATAATTCTCCCAAGTTGTAATCGTACAGGCAAATGCAACAGTGTCAAGATATAGGGACAGAAAATATTGACATTTTAAAAGTACCGTTTTTTCGTTTTGTTATTATGGAAAGTCAAACATGACTATAGATGATGTTTTATGTAGGCATTTATGTACACTGTATGTACAGAGATCGCCTAGTATTAAAAGTGGGTGATCAAAGACTCGACAAGATGCGCAAAATCCAAAATGTCAGAGGAAAGGTATGTTTGTTTGTCTTCTCTTTACCAGTTTAAAGTCATTTTACCTACAGATGGTATTCCATATGCTGTATAAGAGACTCAAGATTCATTTGGTAACAGGATTCAGTGATTAAATCAACCGAAATACCTGAACTGAGTTGATAAAAGAAGCAAAATCAAAAACCCGTCGAACGAAAATGTATTTTTCACAAAATTTTCTGTTTTTAGATTGCCAAAACCACAAAACCAATATCATCTATGGTTAATATACATAAAACTTAACATTACATGCATATCAGACGTTCCAACTCCCCTTCGGTATCGACTAAGGAGGATGTTATAAAAAAAATTATGATCAGCCAAGTGAGTGATTTTACCATGTGGATTCTAATGATATGTTCTTTGCATTTCAGAGTGGTTGGATTTACATGTTTCTATTGTCCTTCACTACGAACTGTTAAATTTCAAAACATTATAAATCACCTTATAGAACACCATGAAGATGAAATGATGAAGATGAGAAAGATTATTGAAAATAGAGGCAAATTTAGAATGATTAGAAGAACTATGAGCTTGACAAGTAAAGATTTGGTTTTAATTATAAATCAAACAAATCTTTAATGTACATATGACCAAAGCCGCTAAACTGGAACTTTTCCTCAGCCCATCCACATAACGCTGTCTAGAATAGCAGAGTATTTATTTCACTTTGTTTCTCTAAAAACGCCCACTGGGCGTTTATTTTGCATTCGATTACATATAATTCTAACTTTTTCAAGCTAATCACCTATACACCTTAGTTGAAAATTGATCAATAAATCTTCTGAATATTGAACTATAGAGCAGCTTTCCCCTATACCTATCATTTACATATGGCCCAAGTTAGGCAAACTGGGAACTGACTACTGGCATCTACTGAAGGTCATTACATTTTTCTATAACTTATTGATACCTTGCTGCAAAAGAATGATTTAACTCCCCAATGAAATAGATAGTGTACAATTCAGATTTAATAAGTTTATTATGAGACCCCATGTCCATAACAACCACAATCATGACAATGGGTGATACAGTGACATCCATTTTCATTTATGATTTATTCAATTCTTGCATTACAATTCGACAATCATCTTGGATGCCAAGGTGTAAAGTTTTCATACCTTGGAATCAGAGGGTAAAATAAATGGACTGAAATGTGACTTTAAAAACTGTTCCATTTATAAGGTGTTACGCTTCAAGAGGTTTTTCTCTTAGCAGTGTACAGTGTACATATCATATTGTATTCAAACATAGACAGAATAACAAAATATACGCACACAGTGACCATTTAATCGAATGAATCAATGGACGGTGATGTACATGTTTATTTTAATTTGGACATACATTTTGCATGAAACCCCATTTTTCTTCTCTTTAAAGCATATAGTGTATGATTCGCTGAAACTCACGCTATAGGCCGATCCATTCATTTCTGTGTTAAAATATTTATTCCATGTTATTTAAGAGGAAACGTGAACTTTATCATGGTCAAATGGAAGCCCAAGACTCTACCTAAGTATAAAAAATTAAAGTGAGTAAAAATCTTCTATTGTTTTTGATATTTTAAAGCTTTTTAAATAAAACAGCACGTATTACATCGCATTTATATCTTTACATCGTAAAATCAATCACATATACGAAAAATGGTCAAAGTAATATATATTTTTCAAAGCATATGGGTGTTCTTGTGCCTACAAAACCTTATTGAATCACCAGTAGCGTGTAATATAAACAAAAATAAATCTTTTAAAAATAACCGTTACAACATATTTGAATTTTGCGCATCTTGTCGAGTCTTTGATCACCCACTTTTAATACTAGGCGATCTCTGTACATACAGTGATGTATGATACTTAACCATACTCTACGAAGAATGGATGATTTTTGTAGGCATTTATGTAGGCATTCTTAAAACACGTTACTTTGCCTTAAAAACGTTACTTTATTGGACTTTAACTTTTCTCCTCGAAGAATGGATGATTTTATATTAAGCATTTTCAAAACACAGTACTTTGCCAATAAAACGTTACTTTATTGGACTTTAACTTTTCCCCACAAAAGCCGGAATGTATGATTTTTTTATGAAGGCATTCTTAAAACACGATACTTTGCCTTAAAAACGTTACTTTATTGGTCTCTAACTTTTCTCCTCGAAGAATGGATGATTTTTAGTTAAGCATTTTCAAAACACAGTACTTTGCCAATAAAACGTTACTTTATCGGACTTAAACTTCTCCCCACAAAGAATGTATGATTTTTTATGTAGGCATTCTTAAAACACGTTACTTTGCCTTAAAAACGTTACTTTATTGGACTTTAACTTTTCTCCTCGAAGAATGGATGATTTTATATTAGGCATTTTCAAAACACGTTTCTTTGCCTTAAAAACGTTACTTTATTGGACTCTAACTTTTCTCCTCGAAGAATGGATGATTTTTAGGTCGTAGGCATTTTCAAAACACAGTACTTTGCCGATAAAACGTTACTTTCGTGGACTCTAACTTTTCTCCTCGAAGAATGGATGATTTTTTAGGTAGGCATTTTCAAAACACAGTACTTTGCCGATAAAACGTTACTTTCGTGGACTCGCGTGGACTCTAACTGTTTCCATGCCAAGTTGTTAAAACACGTTACTTGGCCAGTTTATTCCTTCAAGTGTCGAACATTTTAGCCTGGCATTTTTAAAAAGCGTAACTTTGGCCGATTTCCGTAACTTTCTTGTACTCTTAAGTTTTCCTCCATCGAGCGTTGGTAAATTTTAGGTAGGCATTTTCAAAAAGCGTTACTTTGGCCCTTTTCCGTTACTTTCTTGGACTTAAACTTTTTTCGATGTGTAACTTGAAAATCTTGTCAGTGAGTGGTATTACTAATTGTAAAAGATAAGATAAACCATAGTGTAAAGAGAGGCTAGTAGTGTTTTTCCATCTATTAATTCACAACGAATCAAATGACTCGTTATGGAAAAATAGAAACTTTTGTACAATGCCTAACTTTTGTTTTGGTTTGTTTCGTAGTTCGATGATCTTCCATGTTATTTTCGAAATAATAACATGGATGAAACTCCCTAAATAGGTACAGCTTTACTGCACGTTATACCTAACTATCTGTAATATACAATAGTTACGTCTTGTACGTATATATGTTAATCCCTGTTTATTTTTTTTTCATTTTCTGTTGCAATATGTTGGTTGCTTATTTAACGTTCAATGTACTCAATTAGGCGGTTAAAAGACCAAAGTGGGTCCTTTTTCATGAATGTACGTTAATTTATAGATTAGTTTAGCCGATAACAGTGTTGAATTACTTCAGAGTTGCAATTTTAGCGATTCATACGATAAAAGATCGATTCATCCCAAACACCCACTTTACCGGAAGGCGCTCTCTGACGTCCGCGCCATTTAGGTCACTTATAACATGGCATTATTTTTCACTTCCCTTTATTAGTACGTTTGAATGCAACCATCTTAGACTTAATGCAATAATTTTGACCCTCTTTCCAAAACAAATATTCTTCTTTTCTTCATCCTAGGTCTGATGGTGTATCTTGTTTATTCGATTTTGTTGTGCCAAGTCATGTTGTACTGAGCGACATCTTTATAAAACACAGTTTTCAATCCGACTATAAGTATGAGTAATTCATAAAGATGTCGTTCGCTTCAACTACATCTCATAAATGTCGAACTAAATCACTAGTTTTCAAGAATTATATACACATTGTATTATTAAAAACACGAGCTAACAAACAATACAATCGTTTGCATCAGAATATCAATGTATTTTTCCATTTAATATTGCACTGTGGTCTTTTGACTGCTTTTTATCGACTGACGGAGACAAAACTGAAGTTCGTCAAAATGCGATTCAAAATCATCTATTGAGTACTTTGAATTTAAAAAATAAGCAATCAAATGACCATATTGCAACTATATTTGGAGAAATAGAAACTTATGTACAAGGCCTAACTTTAGTATTTCAGATAGTTACAGCAAACGTGTGGCATTCAGTAATTTATTGAGTTTCATCCATGTTAATTTTTAGTGTCGAAAATGTCATGGCAGAGAAGCATCGAAATATAAGAGGCCACACATATGATAGCTAACTACAAAACAAACCAAAATAAACAAAGTTAGGCCTCGTACAATTGTTTCTACTTTTACAAAATACTGTTCAATATCGTCCTTTGATTCCTTATTTTTTACATTCAAAATACTCAATCGGGCAAAAAAGTTAAAGTCCAAGAAAGTAACGGAAAAGGGCCAAAGTTACGCTTTTTGAAAATGCCTACTTAAAATTTACCAACGCTCGATGGAGGAAAACTAAGAGTACAAGAAAGTTACGGAAATCGGCCAAAGTAACGCTTTTTAAAAACACCAGGCTAAAATGTTCGACACTTGAAGGAATAAAGTTAAAAGTAACGTTTAACTGGCAAAGTACTGTGTTTTTAGAATGCCTACATAAAAAATCACCCATTATTCGAGGAGAAAAGTTAAAGTCCACGAAAGTAACGTTTTATCAGCAAAGTACTGTGTTTTGAAAATGCCTACCTAAAAATCATCCATTCTTCGAGAAGAAAAGTTAAAATCCAATAAAGTTACGTCTTTAAGGCAAAGTACTGTGTTTTGAAAGTGCGTGCATAAAAATCATCCATTCTTCGTGGAGATCAGTTAAAGTACAATAAAGTAACGTTTTAAGGCAAAGTAACGTGTTTTGAAAATACCTGCATAAAAAATTATCCATTCTTCGTGGAGATCAGTTAAAGTCCAATAAAGTAACGTTTTTAAGGCAAAGTAACGTGTTTTAAGAAGGCCCTACATAAAAAACCATCCATTCTTCGTGGAGTATGGTTAAAGTCGAATAAAGTAACGTTTTACTGACAAAGTACTGTGTTTTGAAAATGCCTAATATAAAATCATCCATTCTTCGTGGAGATCAGTTAAAGTCCAATAAAGTAATGTTTTTAAGGCAAAGTAACGTGTTTTGAAAAGACTACACAAAAATTCATCCATTCTTCGTGGAGAAAAGTTAAAGTCCAATAAAGTAACGTTTTTAAGGCAAAGTACTGTGTTTTGAAAATGCCTGCATAAAAAGCCATTCATTCTTCGTGGAGTATGGTTAAAGTTGAATAAAGTAACGTTTTACTGACAAAGTACTGTGTTTTGAAAAGACTACACAAAAATTCATCCATTCTTCGTGGAGAAAAGTTAAAGTCCAATAAAGTAACGTTTTTAAGGCAAAGTACTGTGTTTTGAAAATGCCTGCATAAAAAGCCATCCATTCTTCGTGGAGTATGGTTAAAGTTGAATAAAGTAACGTTTTACTGACAAAGTACTGTGTTTTGAAAATACCTAATATAAAATCATCCATTCTTCTTGGAGATCAGTTAAAGTCCAATTAAGTAACGTTTTTAAGGCAAAGTAACGTGTTTGAAAATGCTTACATAAAATTCATCCATTCTTCGTGGAGTATGGTTAAAATCGAATAAAGTAACGTGGAGTGTCAAAATACTGTGTTTTGAAATTGCCTACATATAAAAATCATCCATTCTTCGTGGAGATAAGTTTAAGTCCAATAAAGTAACGTTTTTAAGGCAAAGCACCGTGTTTTGAAAATGCTTACATAAAATTCATCCATTCTTCGTGGAGTATTGTTAAAGTCCAATAAAGTAACGTTTTACTGACAAAGTACTTTGTTTTGAAAATGGACTACATAAAAAAATCATCCATTCGTAGAGATCAGTTTAAGTCCAATAAAGTAACGTTTTTAAGGCAAAGTAACGTGTTTTAAGAATGCGTACATAAAAAGCATCCAATCTTATTAGAGAAAACTTAAAGTCTATTAAGGTAACATTCTAAAGGCAAAGTAACGTGTTTTAGAAATGGCTACATAAAAAATCATCCATTGACAATGAACGAACGTTTTAAAGGCAAAGTAACGTGTTTTAAAATGCCTGCATAAAACATAATCTCTTCTTCGTAAAGATAATGATTATATCACCAGGTTTCAACAGCCAAGGTAGCCAACGTTCCTTAATTACTTTTCATAATAACAAAACGAAATAAACAGTACTTTTAAAATGTCAATATTTTTTGTCCCTATATCGTGACATATATAGGCAAATGAATGCGATCAGTGCAGGACTATAGTCCGGGAACGGGATAAATTACATTGGTGTAAGAAGTGGGATTTGCCCTTGTGTCGAACTCCCGTGCAGTGATAATATCACTGCGGCGGGCAGGTATCTCACCGTAAGCATGGTAACTTCTAATAAACAACTGACGTGATTGGTTCTAGTCCCATGCTCAGGTCGCGTGATTGTTAAATTTAGACAATTTCATTGGTTGAATTGCGCGTATTAACTGATAAACAACACGTGCGGTAAACTATTATCAACACAACTTTTACTCAGAATTCCTTCCGCGGTGATTTCTTCTCATATTTCAATAATTTTGAAATATTTTGACAAAATAATGGTTGGGGAACATTTATGAATACATATTTTATAAGTTGAGTGAAAATTGACCACATATATGATGAAAAAGGGAACTATTTTCCCCAAATTTTGGGGATTTTCTTCGTCTGCCCGCCGCAGTGTCTATACCGAGACACTGCATGGGAGTTCGCCCTTGTGTATCAGAGTTCAGCGTTGAGATGAGGCGTCATCCTTCAGGGGGGATTGTATAGTGACCCTCAATAACAAGTTGCTACTGCTAGTTCTTATGGCTCAGGGGTATTAGTTCAACAACATTAGACCTAGCCTGGGCCTCGTTTCTTATGTGACATGTCTTATGGCCCGGCTAAGCGGTTATTAAGTTTAATGATGTTGAACTAGGCTCAGGGGTTGCATTAAACGCGGTCTATGGAGCCGAAGGTCCTCGGTTCAATTTCTGCACGGGCTTTTCATATCCAGCATCTAGCTCATTACACCACGAACGAGCGTCCTCAGAGAGTCACTCAAATTCCTCACTGAGCTGATTTCAGGTTTTGCCTCCAGAACACACTTCCAAACATGCAATTCCATACACAGATTTCAAAACATTAAAAGCCAAAAAAAACATTAAGCAACACCTTTCCACGTCTTCATTACCAAAGCATACCCAATTATTCAATAAACATTGAAAATACAAACCTTATACTTGTGTCATTTTCAAGCTTTTCACTTTTGAAAATCACATGAGATATTTCCATGCAGGGTTACAAAAAAATAAAACATGAAAATTAATCAAACCTTGTTGCTATATTATCCTAAAATACAAATATTGCATTCACAAAAATCATCAATTAGTCAAAAGTCACTATTTAAAAGTGTTGAAATATATTGATATAGCTCCTAATTCTATTTTAAATTAGGGGTAAAGTAACTTATAACCCTGTCTGTTCGGTGAAAAGTCAAGGTCAAATAACCGGAAGTTCAACATGGCTGGTAATTTTATTTTTGTTTTTTCTTGTTTTATGTGTTCCCTGCTAGTGTTACCTATTTTGAAATGTACAATACTCCCCATATACAATACCTAAGTAATACAATTGATATATTTTGGGGGATTTATACACCCATTTCGAATTTAGTCTGTGGATATTTTCTTTTTTCCAAATTTTTTATTCTATTTTTCACAGATCCAATTAGTTCAACGTCGTTAAGGTTCAGCTGGAAAGTAACATTTTGGTAAAAAATTGCTATACCTGCACGTGTTATTTTCTGGTACAGATTTAAGTATGAAGTCATGTGTGTATTTCCTTGCTTTTTTCAGGAAAGTATCATTACACTGTTTACTTTTATAATATCTGGAAACAGGTCAATGGTAGCTCCTGTGTTGTCTGGAAATTTTGAAAGAAAATTTGGAAAAATAGAAAGTGTGAAATGTCAGAATTTCCTGGAGTTTCCATTGAACCCCTACCAGATATTCTAAAAGAAGACAGTGTAATGATACTTTCCTGAAAAAAGCGAGGAAATTGACACATGCCTTCATACTTTATTTTGTACCAGAAAATAACATGTGCAGGTATAGCAATTTTTTACCAAAATGTTACTTTCCAGCTGTACCTTAAACTCAATAACGGCGTTATTTATTATTAAGAATTTTCTTGGGGCCATTATTGAGTTTAACCTCTTTACTATTCTTTCCATTGATGCAAGTTTTGGATCCACCGAAACCATTTTTCCGCGATAACATGCAACTGATACTTGACAACAATATAAAAACACATAACATCAAGCGATTCAACACAATATTATTGTATTAAATGGTTATTTATACAAGTAAAATGAGGTTAAACTTACCAATCTCTAAAATGACATTTCCGCATGTCCTTCATTGTGTCTGTTCGTCCCGGGTTAAAATTTAAACTATTGAAACGAAATTGTTGTCAAATAGATTGATAATTATCACGCGATTACTCGGGATAAAATAGCCATTTTTGAGGATAGCAGGTATCTTTGATTGATTTATATAGCGCTTGTATACACACAAAATCGTTATTAATTGCAAACCTACTGTTCGTTGATGCAGTGTCGCAATGACGGTTAATTCCTGATACGATTTGCAATTTCGATGTTACCGGAGCTGACCGATATTTTCGTAAAATTCCAAACCTGTCTCCAATATTTTCGTAATTATGCATCAATATGGTCTAAGGGGGGTACGGGATGGTGTGTATGTATTTATAAGGTATGTATGCATGCTTGAATCACATTCTTTATGTAATATTACCATGTTTTCGGAGTTTAATTAGTTCCGCATGTCGAAACCTGCTGAACGATTAAATGATCGCATCAAGGGCAAAATCATCATGGAAGTTAGACCTAGCCGGGGCCATAAGACATGTCAGATAAGAAACGAGGCCCAGGCTAGGTCTAATGTTGTTGGACTAAGATCCAATCAGCAATCCATCATCCACTGATCCAGTTCAGTTCAATTAGAGTAGTAACATAGCCTAAGTTGATAAGACACAAACCTGCAAAAGTTCTAAAAAAATGACCACCATAAAGAACAAGTGTTAATGCCGGATGAATGAGTTACACTACATGTAGATCTACTAAAAAAAACAGTTGTGATGTCAATAAAACATAAAAGACATCACAACCTGATTGAAATGGACTATATTTTTTCACTTCAAAATTTTAATTACGAGTTTTGGTCTTATTACCTCACAAAAGCTTTCAAAACACACAGGAAGCAGGGGCGGATCTGGGAACCAAGAAGGGGGGGGGGGGGCCCAAACTTGTGGTCTGAGAAAAAAACGTCCGTGTATTAGTTCAAGTCTTTTAGATCGCTACTTTGAATTTACAGCCAGCTATAATGTCAGACATTAACGACATGTGCGTCCAGTTTTTGTTGTTTTGTTTTTTGAACATCTGCCATTTTTCTTGGAGCCGTTGATTTGATTTTAGACAAAAGCTTGCAATATCTCACAAAGGATATGTATTCGTTTAAATTCTATTTGATGAAATATTAGGATTTTTGAAATAACACAAATTTATTTTTATTCCGAATGATCATTTTCACTAGTGCACGGTAGTCCACATGCTAGGTCTTCTAGCCAAGTAATTTGGCTAGAGACTCGAGTAACCTTGATTTTAGCCATACATGTATGTAAGAGGCAGCATACTCAGCAAATTGGCAAAAACTCCAGTCATGTTCATCTATTACTGGTTGCTAATGATTGTTAGCTAAGATGAGGCAATGCAATGCCACTGATAAGGTGTGAGTACCCAGTGCTGTCAACCCCCAAAGATTTTCTCGCGGGACAGATTTTTTAGACCCAGTGCCCAAAATTCGCGGGATTTTGCGGGACATCTACTAAATTTGCGGGATTTCGCGGGACATTTAAGGGATTTGCGTGATTGCGCTTATAGGCCAATTTTTTTTATCAAATTCGCGTGATTTCGCGGGACCATTCGAGGGACAAACACCCTAATTGCGGGACAGTTAACAGGTTTACCAGCAAAAACTTCATAGAGGGACAGATTTTCTAGAAAAAGTGCCCTAAATTTGCGGGATTTCGCGGGACATCCACCTAAATTTGCAGGATGTCCCGGGACATTCAAGGGATTTGCGTGATTTGGACTAATGTAAAAGCGTGTAAAAGTACTAGAATCAAACTTTCAGATACTGATTAATCAAATATTAAGCACCGTTACATTGTAACTTAAATAAACGTCAACATAATTTCACAAAATACGCATAGAAATATTACTAAACTTTATTGTAATTTATCAAAAACAAAAACCATGCTTGAGGTGTGAGTATCGTAATCTAACACGAAATTCAAAAATTTGGAACAATACTTTGCACTTCTCTGCTTCTGGCGTCGTGACCAACTACTACCATACTGTAGGCATGGGCTTTCAATTGAAAGCCCATGATATAGGGGTTCGATTAATCTACATCAAATTATAGGGAATGAGGTTACTTTTCTAGATAGGGTTTGTAGAAAAAACCGGGTACCGGGTAGTAAATCCTCCATGCTGGGTTCAAACTTTTTTTTTTTTAATTCCTTCATTCTTATTTATGTACATGTAAATGTAAATATAAATATGTACATGTAAATGTAATGCAATTAATAATATAAATAAAATTTACGTAGACAAACTTGGTACCCGGTCGAAAAACCGGGTACCCAAAAAACGAAATATACGAATATACAACATAATTAGATCATTAGAAAACGTGTAAGATTTGTTTTGAATTTACAAAAATGTAACTTCCTTCAAAATTGAGCTAGAAGCTTCAAATAAAAAGCATTTTAAGCCTCTTTTCTTTCTCTATCATCACACCCTCTCCTGGCTACGCCAATGACATTGTAAGACGATTTGAATAACAAGACAAATCAATTTTACTCAATGAGTTCGTATGTTGGTACGTGAACATAACCAATGAAAATATGGTCATGACGATAGAGGAAGAAAAGAGCCTTAAAATATGCTTTTTATTTGAAGCTTCTAGCTCAATTTTGAAGGATGTTACATACATTTTTGTAAATTCAAAACAAATCTTACACGTTTTCTGATAATCTAATTATGTTATACTCGTATATTCGTAGTTTTCATTTTTTGGGTACCCGTTTTTTGACCGGGTACCGGGTACCAAACTTGAACCCAGCATGGAGGATTTACTACCCGGTACCCGTTTTTTTCTACAAACCCTTTCTAGATATCAGCGTCCATTTATTGTAACTCGCGTTTGCTAACATTTGCTCAGTTCTGAGATGAAGGCCACACGGATAGTAAAAAGGCCAACGTTGGAACTATTTGTGACCTACATCCCTATTGTCGTAATTAAAATGAAAGTTGAACCCTTCCTCTTTATTTTGATACCAAACAACAGCATGCTAGGTACTTAAAATTAGGTAAACTTTACTCCTCAAAAGTGCAAAAACTTAGCTTCTTATATAAGATAAGATAATCACCATATAGGGGATTGCAACAATTTCGGAAATTCGCGGAGGTCGAAAGCCACATTTGCGGGACATTGCGGGACACGCGAATTAGCCTTATTTTGATCGAATTCGCGGGATAATCCCGCCATTCGCGGGACACTTGACAGCTCTGTGAGTACCGTAATCCAACATGAAATTTTGTTCATATTTGATACCTTTTGGCGGATTGATATGGAATCTCACACCTTAATTAGCCATTTCGACTTATGTACAGATCTATTGTTCCAAGGGAAAAGCCTCTCAACTCAATGCCACTTGCCCCCCTTGACTATATCAGTCTTTGCTTGTTTTGTTTTCCTTCTATTGACTGTCAGTCTATGCTTGTTTTGTCTATATACAATGTATACTTGTTTTCAGAAGGTCATGAAGTGCTGATTGAACCACTCTGCTTTTCCCAACACTTAGATGCAAAGCCATTATCATATAAACAGACTCGGTGCTTAATGTGCGAGGACACATTCAATCTGGACACACATCACGACACATTTTTGAAACATTTAGTAGAGAAGCATAAATTGGTGATAGCTGATGTTAAGTTGATAGCAGATTTTAAAAGGTTAGTTTTTATAAATAACATTTATTCTATAGCCTTACTACCAGTGACTCCAATACCAATGGCATTCTGGTACAAAAAATGTTTGTTTTCTTTTGGATTATACATGTAAAGAGGTTTTCAGCATCCATTTTGATATTGTTCTTGATAATTTTTATATACCATAGGTACATCAACTATTGGAGAGGAAGATTTTCACTGCAAGATGACTTAAAAGAATTTTGCACCATCATACGAACAAATACACAAGAGAAGGACATAGGTATGGTAGATGCTCTATATTCAAAAATGACTGCTCATATCCAAACTTTTCGCACATGATATCTGCAACGCTTGTTTTTGTATAGCACAGTCTGTGTAGTGTGTGGTTGATATTCTTTGACCATACAGTAAAACATGCATAATCTAAATATCATTGGCCAAAAGTGTTCGGGTTAGCAAGTGTTCACATGGGAGTTAAAGGGAAATTACAAAGCTAGGACAGAAGAAAAACTCTTCACTTTAAGAGGTGTTCAAATATACAGGTTTGTTACTGAAAACACAGAATGAAATCCTGTTTTCTACTGTATTTTGATTTGTCTCTTTGATTTTACTAGAAATGTCTTTGTAAATGAAAGCAAGATCTGAAAGCAACTTGTATTAGCAGAACTAAACTCAATGATTTTCCAAGCACTGGAGTAATTGGGCACTTTACCCTGCTGAAAATTCGAAAATTATATGCCACCTTCTTGAACATATGATGGCACCCTACTGAGAGAATAAAACATAAAGATATCACGGATACACAATATTTTTCCAACCCATGGAATTAGACTCTCGGGTCAGAACATTGAACAAAAATTCAACATTTTGGTTCAGTTCCGAAAAAAGAAAATCTTACCTTTCTGTAACAGCTCATAAAACGTTGAGATGATTTGACAAAAATATCTAAAATTAGGATTTAGTAGAAGAGACCTGGAGAGATCACTGAGGATCAGCTTATTAGACTACATACCACTTTTACATTAAATAATATAAATATTACATTAACCAATGTATTGAATTCTTCAAATGCAGTTCCCAGTGAGGATTTCTACCTTCTCAGTGACATCATTGATGAAGACAAAAAACTTCGGGAAATACTGCAGAGAGAGAAGCTAGTGAGTGTCTACATCTACTGTTAAAATCACTTTTATGCTAAATCTTTAAAATCACTTTTATGCTGAATCTTCTCTGGTATTTAGTCCTATAATAGATCATGGAAAATACAGTTAAAAACAAAGCTGTGAATTGAAATTGCGGAAAATGCAGGTTCGTTATTTTAATCATGTGACTGGTTCTAATACAATGAGAGAGAAAAATTCCATTGATAGTATGAAGCAAAAAGAGTAAAATATGTCTAAGATCAATAGAATAATGTTGCCACAAATTTTACTTTTAAAAAAGAAAATTTCATAACATGACAGGTTTTACTGTACATCGACATATTGTAGTCTAGCTACAAGCCTTTGTGCCCTCGCCCCCCCCCCTCCCACTACACACTTCCTCACTGAGTGAGAAGTTTTCATACCTTTGTAGTCAACTAGTGGGAGGGGGGTTACATGGGCTTGTAGCTGGGCAAAACATATTGTAAATAAATGTGTTTCAGGAGTGTGTCTTGATGTGCCAGCAGAGTGAAAGAGAGGAAGGTTTCCACAGATGTTGTCTCTTCTGCAAACTGTTTGATGGGAGCAAGTAAGTTATCATTCACTTTTGATGACATCAAGATTCAAGTGCAGTAAAACCTGTAAGGGGAACATCTCTGTAATAATGTTACAATTGTGTTCTACTTCCAGAGATTTCCCTATTGTAACATTATTACACTTACACAGGTTCTACTGGATTTGTGGGTATCTTTCTCATTTGATGATGCATTGTTCTAGAGTGCATGTTTCATCTCAATCTATATTGGTATTTCATGCTATGGTGCATATGACCAGCTATTATTGCTCCCAGGGTACGAAAATTGACTCAGTATGTTGCTCCCAGGGTTGGTCACTCAATGGATTTCTTAACTTATATATGCTCAATAATTGCAATTTGATGAGCATGATGGTTATGACCAAAGGCAATATTAGTGACATCCTTGATTCACTACAGTACAGTGTATACGAGTATAGTTCATAGTTCATAGTTTATAATTATCATTTCAAAATGCATGATTAAATTCCTTATGACATTTATCTATCTACAAATTATTTTCAAGTGTTATGTATTCTTTCTTGATAGGAATGAGCTGTTTGAACACATGTCTGAGGAACATGGCTTTAACATAGGACAGCCTGATAATATAGGTGAGAATCTGATGTAATTTCAGTCTATTTTGTTGCTTGTTAATTCAGAGACAAATCTTGGGAGAGCCTAGCTATGCATCAGTCAAGACATATGCCTCACCTCATTTTACCAAGTTTTGCCTCACCTGAAATTTTTTGCCTCACTGAAATTTCCTCACATTTTGTGGATCCTGGCTTAATGAACCTGTGCATATGTGTCTCATTGAAATGGAAGGCAGTGACATAATATAGTGTTGTTGTGTGAGACGCCAATGCAGGGAGGGTCAGAAATTTGACACAAAGTAATGTCCCAGTTGGTGAGAATTTTACATAGTGCTTCATCCCAGAAGTAAAGACTTTTGAAATGCATATTTCTGGTAATCAGAATTTTGAGTTTATTTAACCAGCTATTATTGCGCCCAGGATGGGGGAATTGACTCACTAGGCTGCTCCCATGGTTTGAAATTTGGCAGCCCAATTTTTGGGTCAAAATACTCAGCCCTACCTGTTTAAAGGTTCTTTCCCAAACCTTTGAATGGTGCATTGCTTGATATAGTGTCTCTTGCTATGTAATTCTTCATATTTATCATGTTTCATGGCATATTTTACACCTGAATAAATCATTATCTGTCTCGTATTTTACATGTTTTAAAGTTCAGTGTATATTTTTCAGTCTATGCAGATGAGTTGATGGACTATCTGCATGAACAACTAAAACTGTAAGTGAAATATCTTTGTTTAAAACATCAACATCATGGATGAAGCTGTCTATGAGACAAGCTAAAATTTACAGAAGAATATTTTGTTACAGCACTCTGAGAGAGTATTATAGTTTTGCTATGTTGCTCCGCATGTGGGTGGCCACCACATGAATCTTGTCATCAAAATTCCAGGCAGGAAAACCTATTCGTTTAATTTGGAAACTTTCACAGATGCAAGATGAGACTAGTGCCAAGATCTGATTTGGTTTTGGACATATTGGATAAATTACATGGTGGCCAGGCCACTTTGCTCTTCAAAGTGCAATATTTATCAGCGTCTTGTCAGACATTTTTAGTAGACTAAAACTTAGTTGTACCTTTAAACGATCTAAGTGACATTCACTATTACAGTCAGGTTCGGTGTATCACCATCTCTCACACTCTAACTTACCTGGTATTTCTCATATACTTGTTTCCTGTAACAACATATCTTGGTTTTTGTGTATATGAAATGTATATTTTTCAGATGTAAATGCTTATACTGTGAAAAGACATTCAAAGATCGAGTAACCCTTAAGGAGCATATGAGAAAGAAGGGCCATAAAAGACTGAACCCTAAAAGCAAAAAATATGACAAATACTACATTATAAATTATTTGGTAAGTTAATATTCTTCATTTAAGGGGCATTACAAGCTATCTGATCAGGGCACCCCTTGGCACTTTCTGCATAGGGAGACATTGAGGAAGTTAGGCACTGGTAGAAATGGCTCAATGTAAAGCATATAGGCTAATAATATTAGAGCAATGATTTGGCACATGTTCAGGTTTACTCATACCAATTTGTAGTCATATCATACTTTTGAAAAGTTAGTTGTATGGAGAATGGACTATTTCCATGGATTGTAAAAAAATTAATGACATTATTCATACATATTGTATTCCCATTGTACCATTGGTATATGGGAATGTCATATACACGACACAAATGAATTCAGTGCTAGTGATATTATTAAGTGAACCCAAAATTTAGAGGAAAAATCCTGGGAAGATCATATTATGTTCATATTTGTTGATTAATATTTAACGAATACTTCATTGATGCAGGAACTTGGTAAAAACTGGAAGAGTATCCAATCAGAAGATGACACTCCCATAGATAGTGATACAGATAAAGATGAGTATGTACTTTGTTTCAGAATACTAACATTAAAATTTGTATATATCAGGGGTTCCACTAGAATTTCCCACAACAGGCTAAATAAATGAAAACAACAGGCAAAATTATGGAAATCATAAATTTAACATGGAAAAGTTGAAATGTTCTTAAAAACAATAGGTGATTGTGTGAAAAGAAGCAGTTAAAATCGCCTGTTGCCTGCTGCTAATGAAACCCCTGATATATGGATGAGTAAATTCTTGATGTTTGAAATCTGAATCTGGATCAGAATTAAAGGGAACAAGGAATTTGAAATTATGCATTGTCACTTGTGTGGTTGAGTTATTGAATCACCCACATGTGTATCTGGCCATCTGCTATAAACTGATTTAAAGTGTACATGTTCTAAATTGAGAAACAATATTGTGTTGCCAACTTGTCCTCATTATCATCTACAGGGTTGCCAATGTCAGAAAAACTTAAGGAAAAGCAAAATTGGCAGAAGTAGAAAAGTTGGGTAATTCCATAACCTTATTTTAGATAGAAAGAAATTCATAAATATCTGAACCAAGTGTATCTGTGATATTGTTGTAGGGATTGGAGTGATTGGCAGGAGATGGGCGGAGCAAAGGCTGTATGTCTGTTTTGTGATTGGTCAGCTACAAATGTTGATATTCTCTGGGAACACATTCAGGTATGTCAGAATACTGGTCTGCATAAACTTATTCGAGAATTATGTCTCAAATTAATAATTTTATCATTCATTCGCACATGACTGTATTCACACCTTCTACAAACTGTAAAAGTCATTTCACCCAGTATCTATTCGTTGATACAGCACCTTGTGAAATGGATTGACGATTTTGCAATATTTTGGTGAGTTTACATTTTCGAATATAGTTTAGACCTCAGATCAGGTGATATATTGACAAATAAATACAGAATATGTTTGTGCCGCAGCCCTGCAGTATTTATTTGTCAATATAACAACCGCTCTTCGGTCTATATTTCTCAAATATAGAACACTATTCTGAGAAATTAATGCGCCTCGGGGATGAAGTGGTATATTTAGGATTTTCAAAATTCTCAAAAATAGATCTTTCCAATAAACCAATTTACCAGCCACTATCATATACTTATATTGGCTAGACTTCTAGTGTAATACTTTGCAGGTAGCAATGCTTGTAAACACATATGAAGTTTTGAAGAATTAATTGATCCCATTTCTGTCCTGATATGTAAGAATGACATCATAACCAATTAATAGGTGTCTCTGTAAGAATGACATCATAACCAATAGGTGACATTATTCACTGGATTGGTCTGTTGGATGCATGAATGAATCCTCGAAGCTTTATTTATATCTTTGCATGTTTCTTTTCAGAAAGTGCATGACTTTAACATGACTGAAGTAAAGGAGAAATTACAGCTGACGTTCTATCAACAGATTAAGCTAGTCAACTATATTAGAAGACAGGTAAGAATGGTTGAACCTCTTCTCTTCTATTTTCTTTTTGGTGAACTATGATGTGTGTTTTTGGTCAAGATGCAAAGATGCTCAAAGTAAAATTTACTTTTACATATTATAAGAGGTGCACACACCCTTTATGATTTTTGGCGCATGTCATGTTGCATACATACTAAGCGAGCAATTATTTAAAGCTTCAGTATTTTAAGGAAGGCAGGTTTTTGTCATCAAAGTCTTTTTATGATCTGCAAATTGCATAATGTTAAGCTGAAAAATTGAGGTATATTAGTGACATGGCTCATTTAAAGGTCTTCTTTTTGAACTTCGCCTAATCTGCTACTATTTACATGTAGAATCGAAACAATTATTTTCTGGGTCATTATATATTCCTTTGTTAAATGCACTTTTCAAAAGTTTCCTGAGCCTACTGAGTAACCTTCTAACTCTTGTTTTATATTTTCCACCATCTGTTATGTTGTTAGTCTCGTAAGGATCTTCCGTATGGTTGTATAGTTCCTCAGCTAGAATTCCACTGTTGGTGATTTTCACAGGGCCTTCCAATGCATCTGTCCATATGGTGTACCTATTCAAATTTAAATTTTTAAAAATAATGCAAAAATAATTTTTTACAGGGTGACCAGATAATAGGAAAAACTTTTTAGATGACAAATCTAATAATATGTTATTAAAAATTTCAAAATTTAGTTATTTTTATGGTGAAAAATTATTTCAAAATAAACCAATTTAATAAGTTAATTTTATAGGGACTACTAAAATAAGAGTTTTGAGGATTTACCTGTATTTACCAGTGAACACTGTGTACCCCATTCTGCCTTGTCTTCCACGTACTTGCCAGAATACGGCCTCTTTCCAAGATAGATCTGGTTGCTTTATTAGTGGCATAAAGCTTTGCCCATCTCGACAAAGCTCTACATCATGTGAGTTGTGTGGACATTTTTGAATCGGTGGAATTCCCGCAGCTTCTAATAATGTCGGAAATATATCCACGAATTCTACTTTTTCATTGGTTGTCCCTCCATTGTCTGTTGTTCCTGGAATGTGAACCATCAGGGGAGCCCTGGCATTTAGGTGAAAACTAGTTGCTTTCCCCCACCTGCTGTTCTCACCCAAGTGCCAACCATGATCACTAAAGAACGCAATAATGGTGTTATTCGCTTGTCCTGTAGCATCAAGGTGTTTTAGAACATCACCAACTAGATCATCTATGTATGATATTGAAGTGCAGTATGCCCTTCTCAGTTGTTTCGTGATATCATCTGGTAGCCTCGATTCATTCATTTCTCCTGTGTAGTTCAGCGCTGCAATATCACGATATTTGGGGTTGAACACTGATGCATGGCCTGTCCAAGCAACTTCTGGCATGTTCTTTTGGGGGTCAGGGTTGCTGGGGAGATTTATAGCACCTTCTGGGTAGTACTCTAGGTAACGCTTTGGAAAAACCCAGGGGAGATGAGGCTTGTAAAATCCCACCCCCAGGAAAAATGGCTTTGAGGGTGTCTCTACGGTTAGTTCTGTCATAAAATCTTTAGCTGTGTTTGCTACAAGCATATCCAGCAGTTGAACTGAATCATTAACCACAGTCCAAGATTTTGTTTTCACCCCTTTGATAAATTCTGCCTTAGGAATGTAAACAGGCCTCGACCAGGACTGTGGGTCCTGTTTGATTCCAAGCCCCTTGGGAAGCATTTTACCCACCCGAGAACATTATAGCCATTTTGTTTAAAATATTGAGGAAAAGTTGTGAAATCGCCACCAGTGTTTCTCCAATAAATACCATTGCTGTATACTCTGGTGTTATCTGGTCGACGTCCAGTGAAAATAGATGTCCTGCTCGGCCCACAGAGTGGATACTGTGCATACGCCTCTTTGAAGAGCATACTTTTTCTTGCGAGGGAATCAATATTTGGTGTGTGCATGTTTGGGTGGAATTGAGACCCGGGGGTGTAATAACAACCCAGTTCAGGACGTAGATCATCCATCATTATCAGTAACACATTCTTTTGGCTCTGGGTCTCACTCAGAGAGAAACAGATTAGTGCCACAACATACAAACTTAAAAGAGAAGACAAAGTACATTTTCAATGACGTTTTCTTTAATGTATGATTATGAAAATAAACGTTGCTTGGAATGCAAAACAACAAACTACTGCAATTTTCAAATTAAATATTTTTAGTTCATAGTTCCAGTTTTGCGATAGAAATAGCTATACCCAGAATAGTCATAAGAGAGTAATATAAACTTTGCAGTACCTACCATTTATTGAAGTTTAAATACAACATTTTTTTTGTTTTTTAAAGTCCACTTTGAATATTGTCTTTGATCATTGTAATGTTGAAGTGGTAATTTCTAATTTAGGCTCGAGTAAAATAATACTTTTAATTGAGATTTAGTAATTGATTCAATTAATCAATCATTGAAATTTTGATGAAAGGGTTTAACGTAGATTGAGAGATTGTATTATTAATGACAATAAAACTAAATAGTATTTTATTAAACTTCTTATTAATAATCCTAAAGAATGTAATTATTTCATTAAAGAAAGCTGAAATGTAATTAGAAATGTAACAGGATCCGGCTATTAACTTATATAAAGGATTGTCTCAGTTGTATAGCATACAATTTTGTTTAATCCATTCTGAATTGTAAAATTGCCCTGTCTCAGTTTGCTTTTTACGATGCATTAATATTGATTAAAAAGCATCAGTTAAATACTGTATTTTATTTTGATCCCTTTCCTTCTCTATACACCCAGACATAAATGTTAATTTCCCACCAGGTGTTGTATCAAAAATAACACTTGTTTAACCCACCAGCGTTGATCATGAGGAACAATGCTTTTGAGAAAACTGTCATTATCTTATCGAACAAAGTATGTCGGGATATAGAGAATGGCTCCAACAATTTCATATTGCTATTGGTATTTTCATCAATATTTTATGTTCCAAATTTTCAACTAGGTTTTGTTAATCATATTCAACAAGATTTTGAATTGCAATTTTCAACTAGGTTTTGTAATATCATTTTCAACAATGTATTTTATTGTTATTTTCAGCCAGTTCTCATGTTATCATTTTAGCTAGGTTTTCTATTGCTATTTTAATCTTTCTATTTTCATTTTCAACAAGGTTTTCTATTGCCATTCTTGTAGGTTTATCTCATTTGGTTCTTAACTGTTATTTCAGATTCACCAGAGTCGATGTATCAATTGTGACGATAGCTTTGAATCAAAGAAGGAATTATTACAACATATGTCAGATAGATGTCACTTCAGTCAACCCACAGACTCATCAGTGTGGGACCAACCGCAGTAAGTGCTTTAATTTACAATAAATTTTTTGTGAACTGCAGTATCAGGCCCGTAGCCAGAATTTTCCAAGGGGGGGTTCGTTTTTCTAAAAAATTCTAGGGGGGGTTCACTTTGGCAAATATGGCCAAAAATCACTCAAAAAATCTTCAGAATGGTGAAAAACTGCATGATTTTGAAAGAAATTTTGGCCAGGGGGGGGGTTCGCCCGAACCCCCCGAACCCCCCCTGGCTACGGGCCTGAGTATCAACCTGTTTTTAACTTACTATTCATTCAGATAAGGCCCATTCAAGTTAATCATGCCATCTTTTGTTTGTGATGTCAGTTTATAGGGCAGAAATAGGACCAACTTAAAACTACTGATACATGTTGTGACAGAGAATCTCACCCAATATTTTCTTGCTTATCAAATTAAAGATGGGGATTTATGGAAAGGTCTATTGCTTGATATCCAGAGTATATTCACCACCATTATCAAATTGTTAATTTTCGGTCATTGGTCAATTTTTCAAACATAATCATGTGAATATGAAAATAATACAATGGACTTGTTTTATCCTGTAGAATAATTTCAACTTTTTAAAGATGTCACTACTGGTTTAAGGAAATCCACATGGGGAATAAAGTTTTATTCCCTTTCAGATATTTTTTCCCAACTTATGAAGATGATAACCTATTATACGCCTTACAAGATGATGATGCTGCTTCTAACAATGGTAACCTAGCAGCAATTGACATTAGCAATGATGAAATAATCGCTGAAAGTGCAAAAACAAACATTAAGGACTCGGTGCTATGTGAAAGGACAATTTTGCAAGATCTTAGAGAAGATGGAAATTCGTAGAAGGGAATCATATTTGCATAATTAAATATACATATTATATAATGATAATATTATACATGTATATAGTACTATTATATAATATATATGGATTTGTTGCTTGTTATATTAATATTGTTATGAGTTGTTATTTTGACAATGGGAAACACCAATTCATACAAATTGGAGAGAATGTTACAGGTAAAATATTTGAATCTGAAACATAATTCAAATATCAGTGGCCTTTAAGGACAATTGACTGTTACCGTTCACATGACTTGTGATATATGATAGCTTGTCAAGATCAAAAGGGCCAAAAGGACAACTACTATTTTTTCCAACTTGGCTAATTGTCAGGGGTTTCAACCAATCCCTTCAAATTTAGTTGACTTTGATATAATGACTGCATTTTTGATTATTATTGACTATAATAGATACAGGAGGGAAATCAAGTGTATCATAAAGCACGCCTAAACTTAAAGTACCATTTTGCCAATTCATATCCCTTGACTTTTCTCTAGATTACTGGAATGGAAGTTCTGTTTTTCAAGTTTTTATTTTACAATTAAAGTGTGAGTGTTAAAGATGAATTTTTATTCATTAATTTCATATATTTGCGAGCATGTATTTTAAATCTGAATATTTTAAAGCATATTTTTTCTGCGTAGCACAGCTTAAATTATCAATTAGTTCAACATTTTGTTGCACTTGAATTTCTTAGCTTATCAAACAAGTTCAAGCATCCTACCGAGATCTACTCAAATGTCAATATCCGCATAATGTATTTTCATGATTATTTCAGACATGTACTTCAAAATTGAAATGTTGCATTTAAAAGTAACATCCTTATAAAGAGTTGTATTTTGTATACTTCAACAATTTGAAGTATAGTAAGTTTGCACAGAATTGATAAATAACATGCAAAAGTAAATACCATTCATTTGACAAAAACATTTTTGCAAATTTTTAATGTAAATTCCCTTTTATTGTGTGAAAATACTCTCACACACTAAACTATTTTTATCAGATTTTGGCACCTGGAATAAACGTCTAAGAAATGAAAAACTACGAGCAAATTCAGTTTGACTTTCCTGTCAAGTTCTATGTGTTTATTCATAATATTTCAAAGGGAATACATCCCGAAATACTCTTCTGTGGAGCTACAGGTGTAAAAACATATGTGCCTCCCATGAATAAAATTCCAGAGCTGTTGTGATTTAAAGTGAAAATATCTGAGGAAAAGAGTGAGATCAGCAAGGAATAGAATTCCCTGGTGTGAAATGAAAACATTTAATGGCATAAAAACATTTCAGATAAAGATAGTTTATGTACAACTAAGAGTGAAATCGAGTAGAAAAAGCATGAATTGAGAGAGAAATTTTTCACCTGGGATCTAATCACTGTCAATGTCTATTTGTATGTCACTTAACATGGACATGTCATTGCTTAGAATTCTCTGAATTAAGTCAAGTATTATCTTAAGACGACCCATGGTATTACGTATTAATCTGTGACAATTTTAATGTTTTGATATTAACACTTGACTCAAGTGTTGCATGTACCTTAACAAAAATGTGTTTACATTATGAAGTACCCAAGGCCAAATTGAGGACCTAAACTGGAACTTTGAATTTGACCATTTATGAATTATCTGAAAATGAAAATGGGTATTTTGCTCTCATCATGGGCATAACCAGACACAGGGCAGGCGAGGCAAAAGCCTCACCAAAGACATCCTTGGCCTCACCAAAATTTTAAGGAAAAAGTAGTCTTATTTTAACTTTTAACTTTTTATATTGCCTTTCAGAAAAAGAGAAAAGAGAACCTCCCTTGGCAAATCCTGCCTACGGGCCTGCCTTATTAACCTATCTTAGACCTGCCTATTAAAGCCTCACCTTTTTTGATATTTTTCCCACACACCTTATCAATAATAATACTGTGTAGATTTTCGATACTGACATCTGCAAATTGTTCAACACAAGTTGAATGTACACAGTAGAAGTAGACTTGATCCCAATCTTTGCCCAATTTCAAGGTGAAAGTCAAAACTAAGTACCTTTAAGCTGATATGGATCCCAAAAGGTTGACTGAAGTATCCCTGGCATGTATGTTTAGCTTAGTCTGCTTGAATAAGCATTAACTGCAACAATGAACAATTATATGCTAAAATATCATTAAATTCAATACATAACATTGACGGTTGACCTTCAATAGTATTGTACTGTAATAACTTCTTGGGATTGTCATCTATTAGTCTATATCTAGGGACACACTGCCAAAATAACTTTGTGCAGAATCAGCTCTGGAGTTGCGCTAAATCAAAAACTAAAATCAGTGCAGAGTCTGCAGTAACATTTAACATGTTTAATGTCAATGTAGAATGAACACTAACTGAGTATTTTGATTGGTTGTAGATAAATATCACAAATGACAACTTTTGAAAAAAGTCCAAACCCCAAAAATGTGCAAGAAAATCACTTGCATAGTTGAATTTCTTGCAGCATTTCATCTGTTATGCATAAAAAATTTAATTTTTGCGAAAACCCCAGAACGAAAACATCTTAAAAGGGATGAATGGTTGCATTACAAAATGTGTTCTGGTTTACCCCAGGCAGAGACCTGTTTTTCATTGATATTTAGCTACTTACTTAACGGGATATTAGTATCATTACCAGGTAAGGTATTTACCTACCAGACTCCAAATTATACCAACAATTGAATTAGAAAAACATACCACTGGCGACTTAAGCATTAAAATCAGAAATTCTCAATTTTGAAATAACAGAGACAGCTCATATTGTTTATTTTGGATATTGAGTCTATACCTTTGGTGCCTTGGATGCATTTCAGCTGACTTCTAAAGTAATCAATTTCAAATTGCTGGTTAATTTGGTCCTTTCTAAAAATGTGGTCATAAATCAAGTGTAAAGATTAGATTTTGAATTGCACTTTGAATAAGTAAATGCACCTCCAATGTGCTCAAATAGGAGCTGCATCTCTGCTTCATAAATGCACCTTTAGTAGTAAATATTGAAAAATGTGCCCTTAATGAATTTAATTAGTAGCTGCTTGTTATTTGAAATGCACCATTGAATTAATAAGTAGCTACCTCCCATAGCAAGAGAGTGACCATAGTATGCTTCACCCATAAAATATTATGATGAGCTCTTTGCCAAACGAGGTTGCGATTTGCCAAACGAGGTTGTATAATGCTGGAAAAACTTACATGACTCTATTGATATACATGAGGTTTAAGAGCAACTGAAACCGTGTAAATCAAGTTGGGCAGTTTAATTACAAAATTCTTTACATTAAAACTCAGGTGAAGAAATGTCCCATCACCACAGGTAAATGCTTGTAATTTAACACCTGACAGGTGCAACAATGAAATGCAGAGACATGATTCTATACAGAATAGCACAAGTCTCATGGCATATGATATGTGCGTCTGAAAACATGTGTCAGTTATGCTAATGCAGGATCTGGGGGGGGGGGGCTCTGGGGGAGGGGGCTAATGCAAGAAAAATATTGATCTACCTTTTTCAAAAACATTATTAGAGGATGTTACAAGCATATTTTGAACTAAAGTGGGGAAATTGGAAAATGTATAGCCCCATTGAAGCATTAGAGCCCATTCTGAAAAATCAGAGACCCTTCTGACGAGAGCTGCTTCTTGGCCTGTTATGTAATGATCAAGTTAATACAAATCAATAAGTATTACTCATTTGTGAATGTATCTGGAATTTCTCAAAGAAGTGAATCTTTGATTACTGTTTATATCTGTTGAATTCTGCTCATTTGTTCCTTCGTCATACAAATCTTTTTGATTTTTCGAGTTCCGTTAAAACATCTGGGGGTTTAATGTGTTTTTCATCATTACTCATTAATGCCAAAAATATTTCTTGGTGCACATTAACATTAAAAATGTTCATGTTTCTTGTCCATCTCCGAAAATATTTATTAATGAGTACATTTTTATTAATATGTTTATTCCAAAAATATGCAGTTGATGTACTACATAATGGCCAAAGTTATAGAACATTGATGCCAAGTAGCCAAGGTTTAATGCTAACATGGCAAATTTAGTCATATAAAATTAAATAACGAAAGATGAAGTATATATTGTCATTTTTGATTAAACTATATAAAACAGGTTTTATCGCGGAGATATATTAAGGAGTGCAGAGCTTTTTAAATACTAATATGAAATAAAGTTAGTGTTTGATTCCTTGACAAGGTTTGATTATTTGTGTTGCATTTTGTGCTATATCATATAAAGTCAACATGTATTTTGTCTAATGGTTAGCAGCAGACATTGGAATGTGATAATCTAGGTAATGAATTCCTGATCTTTTTGTGACCACACAAGCTAACAAGTGTAGAATATTTGATCGTGGATTTTACAGGTTTTTTATAGTCCCGGGACAAAAACATTAAATGAGAACATGATGATTTTGGGGTGCATAAAGTCATTTTATGACATTTTTCTGATATTTGTGGTTAAGTAATAGCTTGTGAGGTCATTTCGATTTGAAGGGTTTGAAGCTGGGGAAACACATGTGTTATTTATACAGTAAAACCTGTTTAAAGTGAACACTGTCGACAATGGCTAAAAGTGTTCATATTTCACGGTGTTCTCACTCAGAATTTCTGATGACATATGAGATTCATCATATATATGAGATAACAACTGATAACCAATAATTCAGACAGAAACAGTGTGGACATTTTTTAGGTTTTCACGTGTGCAAGTTTTACTGTATTTACGTCTGGGCATCTGGACAGTTTAACTGTACAGGTGTGACAGCAAATTATAGGCCCTGGATAGAATCAAGCAGACGTCATAGGAGGCAATCTTTTATTACAATAAAAAGAGTTGCAGGAGGAACAATCATTTAAAATATATTCCCTATCAGAAATATATAAGCACAAGTGCCAAAGGGAAAGGACCAAAAGTTGTAATGGAACTTAGAAAGAAAAAGCAAACTCTAAGTGCATACCAGTCAAGAAAACAGACCCCATATAGCTATATAGTTTCTTTTGAATTTTGGCATAAAAATCATGGAAATCTAGATCAAGAGATCAGAAGCTCAAATAGAAACAATGTATAGTTCAAAAAGTTCATTCCTCAATTTGCATTTTGTATCAGATTAGATTTGGTATTGTCAGTTAGATATTGACTGGTAAAAATCACCTGGCGCTAGTTTTAGATAATAAAAACTTTTTTTATCCCAAATACATCAATTCTTGAATTATCTCTTTGACTGGCTAAATTGATTTCAAAATTAATGTGTAATTGGAAACTTATTTTCCAGTAAAACTCACAAATTATAGTCACTATTTTATGACAAAAACATGACCCTTGTCAAACTTTACATTTTACCCAACAAAATAAACAAACAATGAGGTGTTTGAAGTTAAATATAAAATAAATGTTTATTTTTATCTTTTGACAAGTCAACATAAAGTCCATTCAAACACTAGGTTTGAATATATTATTTTCTCTTTGTAGCATTTTGTATTTACATATTGGTAACATATAATTTGGGGTAGATCTGTTATAATCTGGGATATGAAAATATTTGTTTATTCCTCTCTGCTATATTATGTTTATTTATAAAATTGGTACACAATTTATGCTTTCAGCCTTACCAATTTCATTCCTTACATTTTTTTTACATTTACATCAATTTAATTTCATAAAATTGAACATATTATCAATACCTGGAATTGGCATTGAGGGGGGAGGGGTGTTCGAGAGGGATATACAAGGGCTTGATGTAAGACTACAAGGACATCCTTAATGTCTGAATCAGTTCAGTACATAACCACCCAAAAGACCATCAGATTCATTGATAGGCCATTACTAAATGATCAAATTCTGGAATCTATGCACTCAAATGTTTGGTAATATGTTTCAGGTTGATACCTTTTGGTATTAAGGGAATTTGAGGGGATGGGCAGTTACTCATCTCTATCCCTTCTGTCCCCTTTAATTAGTAAGTACACTCTCCTCCCCTATATAAAGGAAATCATCAAAGTCCTAAATTTCTGAAATATTATAGGAACAAAGTCAAGATTCAAGCATTGACATGCTTTAATATGCTATCCAATAAAAACTTCCAGTTGCCAAACTTATGGAGGGGACTGTATTTTCAAACTTATGGAGGGGACTGTATTTTCAAACTTATGGAGGGGACTGTATTTTCAAACTTATGGAGGGGACTGTATTTTCAAACTTATGGAGGGACTGTATTTTCAAACTTATGGAGGGGACTGTATTTTCAAACTTATGGAGGGGACTGTATTTTTAAACTTATGGAGGGGACTGTATTTTCAAACTTATGGAGGGGACTGTATTTTCAAACTTATGGAGGGGACTGTATTTTCAAACTTATGGAGGGGACTGTATTTTCAAACTTATGGAGGGGACTGTATTTTCAAACTTATGGAGGGGACTATATTTTCAAACTTATGGAGGGGACTGTATTTTCAAACTTATGGAGGGGACTGTATTTTCAAACTTATGGAGGTGAGTATATTGTCACACTTATGAAGGGAGTGTACATGTGAGTAATTTATCTTTAATGAATTGTCATTGTTATAATATACCACACTTAACTGCTTCTACATATCTCTAATTTTTAATGATAAATTATCTTGAATACTTTAGATTATACAAAATGTACAAGGTTATACAGCATTATACTTGGTATAATTTTGTATTGAAATAAATAAAGAGTATAAATATTTATGTGATGTCCTGATAAAAATCAGAGTACAGCATCTGTACTGTTAAAGTTGGCTTCAAGAAATTTTCCCAATGAATAAACCTTCAAGGGCTTAATTAGCTGTAATGGCTCTCATCTTAAATAACCTAAAAATACTTTTAAGTCATAATGAGATGTAACTTGCTATATCAAAAGACTTGGACATAAACTTCATTTTCTAAAAATATCAAACCTTGAAAAAGTATGGCAGTATGACAAGTTCTAAATTGAATAAAAAACTTGCATTTGTTTCAATATACGAGGGGCGATCCAAAAGTTTTGGGACACCCTACTCTAATTTTGTTTGTTTTTGATAAAATTTCGGATCACCCCTCGTATAAGGTTATTTCTGATAAAAATTACAGCTATTAGCCCTGTTGATCTAAATGATGATTAACACAGTGTTCCAACTAAAGCAGAATTCTTTCTCAGTTGCGAAGCACAATGAGGAGGTTGCTTCACATATCTTTCATTAACTAGTTGCCCCTCTGCTTTGTTTTGTACAAATCCATATTCACTTTTCTGAATGGAAGGCTCACTGTTTTTTGTCACTTTCGATGGATTTTCCAATCTTTCTATACTACCCAGAACATCTCCGATCCCATAATGATGAGTGACAGTGGATTCCATGTTAAATTGTTTAATTAGTTTTTGTTTAATTCTAGGTATGAATGAGTCATGGTGTTTACTGATGGGGATGGGTTCAGGATCACAGTCAGTGGAGTTGAGGATATCCTCCAGTGCCCCCATATAATTCCTAGCAGGGAGACTAGGCGGAGTCTTATGCGCAGAATTCTTTGACACAATATCACCATTTTGTTTTGTTGTCCTTGATTGCACCTTCGTAGCCTTTGGAAGGATTTCTGAAAGACTTGCATATATTTTATCATCTGGGATTGTCTCATATATATGCTCATCATCACAGAATTCATTTATACTGTTCCCATCATCAAGACCATTTTCTGACATAACAATACCAGAATCATAAGAGTCATGTGACCCATGACCTTTGAGTTCATCAAACCCATAACTCTCATCTTCTTTACCTTGCAGGGTATGTCCTATCTGTCGAGATATCTTGTTATTAGGTGTATCAGGTGAAATATAGGAAATCCGAGGTGGTCTGTATAATTCATTTACAGTGTCCTCAGTTGGCTTATAATGGGGCTCTAAAACATGACCATATTTAGCTAGAGCATACAACCGGACTTTGCCATAGTTTGATGTATCGTTCACAGCAACGGTCGGTGAATTTGAACGATTTTGTTGTTTATTTTGTTGGGTAGAAGATAATTGTGGATGTTGAATCACAGGCTTGTTAGTGTCTCTATTTTTTAATTGAAGAGGTTGTTTTGTCGGGTCAGGTCTATTTTCATTTGAATATGGGATCGTTTTTGCGGAATGTTGCACCATATTTTTAGCCTGTGGCTGCACTTCACTAGATGCAACATTACACCTCAGTGAAGGTTTGATGGAATATTTGTCCTTTTTCATCCCATTTGATTTCATTGTTGAACCAGTCTTTAAATTAGTTTTTCTTTGTGTGACCTCCAGTGTCTCATTGGTTGGTTTATAGTTGGAGTCATGTGACTGTATTTGTTGGCAATTTTTGGCTGTTTGTTTTGAAGGCACTGCATCTTGAGTTTTCAGATCTGATATTATAGCTCTCATTGAGTCGTCGACTGCATTCAATGTTTTATTGTAACCGTTATCCTGTAACCTAGTAGAATCACTAAGATTACATGGAGTTATGTCAACATGTGGTGCTTTGTGTTGTTTAGGATGATGGGTTGTTGGGTAGAGTTCTGTCATCTCAGGGTGAGATATACACATTTTTGGACCTAGATTCTGGTTGCCACATAAGTCTTCTTTCTTGTTGCTAGGTGACTGTTTCTGGTTGCTAATGTGAACATCCAAGTCATAATACTCACTTCCATATCCACTAGAAACTGTAAGGGGAGATAATTGTTTATAATGAGTGAAATCTGGTAGACACGACTTAGAGATATTTTCTTGTGTGATAAAGTGTCTCTCATTTGTGTTGTGGTGTCTCTCATGCATGTTGACATGTCTCTCCTGCATATCAACAATACATACTTTGCTTTGATCTCTCCTATTAATTCGGTTCATTTCTTTAGAATTGACACTTTTCTTTTTGTCTTTTCCTTCACTGTTTATAGATTTTTCAGCTTTGTCTGTGTTACGTCTAGCTCTCTTGTTTCGCTTATCATGTACAGTTTTACACTTGGTGGCGATATCGTATTTCCAATCAGGTGGGATTTGTGATGTATCAGTGTTACCAAAGCAACGAGTTTGGTAGTTCAGCCAATCATCTGGGTTGAGTCTATTTTCCATAATTTGTTCTGCTCTTTCTGGATGTTGTGTGATCATGAAGTCTTCAAATGTCACATAAAGTAGCCACATCTGCTTGTTCAAGCTATCACTTTGAGCTTTTAAGGCATTCTGAAAGCAAAATCAATACAATATTAATTTATTGCTTTTTCAATTATTCAATTAATTCTACACAATACCCTCGTAATATATGTTAGATAAATACACTGATACCCAATTTTGCATTGATATTTACACCTGGGATATATATTACATGAAGGATAGTTTTAAACAATACAAATATAGTTTACATCAACATCTTTATCAGTCAACTGCTGTTTTAAATAGCATCCATGCGATGAATAACCATGCTTCTTATTTAGTTATTAAATTCCACACAGTTGTTAGTAACATATTGATTCAACTGTATCATTGACCAACATGTATTGGATTTCAGTTCCTGACAATTAAACAATTATTTGTGTGCTTAATATGCATTATTTATCCAAAATAAATAGAAAGCTGCACTGAGAACTGTTCCTTGAGTAATGCCTGTAAATATAACTGTAAATTATAATGCGGTCAAGTGATTGTTCAATATCTAAGGTTATACCTCTACTGCTGTCTTAGTACATGTTTGATTAACCTCTCTTTCATTAACCAGGCTTGACCAGTACTAAATCCAACTCAAAGAATGTCAAATACCTTGGGTAAGTCCAGTAAATTCCTTTCATCTACCAGGTTTATGTTTCAGTTTTATATTTATTTTTGTTTAGCCTGATACTTTTTCCAATTCATTGATTGAGTTATGGATTGGTCATACTTACCCAGAGGTTGTTTGATCTTTCTTAAATCTTACATCAATCCCTTTTCAAAGTGATTAACCATGAGTATTAAAGTTTCAAAATATAATCTTTCTCAAGACTTTCATTGTGTAATGCTTAATGGGTTTGTCCAAGAGTTTCTAACAAAAACTGTTGAAGTGGTTGATTTGTCATCTAAGTATATGCAATCGTTATGATTCATAAGTTATATTACATGCTCTTTAGTATTTTTGGGGTTTCCCACTTCTTAATGCATCATTTGTATCAATGTTTATTTTATATATAATCTATATAAAATTGAATAAAATTCTACACGGACTGTGTTTTAATTAATGTTTACATAATATGGAAAAACCAAAAGGTCTTTCAAATAATACATTAAACTTTTAAACTTTTGTTTTTACATTTTATAGCATTGCATTGTATTGTATTGGGTGGTATTGTATTGTTTTGTATTGTATTGTATTGTATTATATTTGTCACTAAAGGTCTCTAACATTTAAGGTGACGTTGAATGATGTTAAATCAACAATTTATTTAACATTTTTTCTCTTTCTTATCAATTTGATTTTTTTGTCTGAGAATTTCTACGTCTTTGCCCATGTCATATATTTACTAAGGTACGCGAGGTGAACGCCAGGGACATTCTTGCTTAACATTGTACTTTAGTCTTCTACTCAATTCAATACATTTTGAAATATTTCTGTCTGTATTTTGTGTGGTCTAAAATTTAAAGATGACCTTATTTGAAATTAAAAGGCTATAGTTATAGCTGTAATTGTTTTCTTGTTTGTAACTCTGAAATATTTTTAATTCATAATGTATGTAGGGAAGTGAATGGACCTCCTTTGAAAATTGAGGAGGGACAAGTATTTTATTCATACTCGGCTCCTAGATTTTTCCACTATAAACTAAAATTATTCTGGGGTTAATTGGAATGGTAATTACAGATATTGGCCCTTTGAACATTATAATTTGGATATAATTGGAAGTGTTCAAATGGTGAATGTACTGATTTATTAAAAATGAAGAAATCTATTACTGAAACCAAATATTTTATGAACCATATTGGATTTGTTTGCCCAAGTCCCCGATTAAGGATACATTTTGATTTTAAGTAGAAACTATTATTGAAAATGTGTTTTAAAGTGACTGGGTAAATATTTGTTTCAAATAGAATTATCTAAATTCTTAAAAGTCTGTAGAAAATTTGTGTAAATTGAATCACAATGTATGAATTGGTTTAACTAGATTTGTTGTAGGGATTAAAGAAGAGCATTTTTGCTTCAAAAGATACAACATGTAAGCGTGTTCAGCTTTCTAGTCAATGTCATCATAACCATGTAGTTATTGTTAAAAAGGAGACCCCCGGGATAGAGCCAGAATGAAAATTGAACAATTGTGCACGTATCCCGAGCCCCTGGGCACAGAGTCTAGGTACAAATTTATGAAGACGAAGCTCTCTTTTAAGAATGGAAATGAATATGAATGGTATTATGTACGGGGTTAATACCGTAAATTATTTTAAAGATTATGTCCCTCCTTTAATACAAAAGGAATGGAGGTATGTGGCAATAGGACATTGTACAGACATAGCCAGAAGGCAGTTAAATTCAAATATGTTTATTCATTTGGTATTTGTTACATTTGATTACAGACCAGGGGTAGGGGTCTATGTGGATAGTTAAGAGTAAACATATGTTATTATTGTAGTAATACACAAAATACTTACAAAAATATTGATATTGCAAATAGAAGGGAACCAAGATCAAATTAAACATAAGTCGTGCTATTCATACCTACCATAAAAGTATACATTTCATTACCAATTTTGAAATGGTTTTTAAAAAAGATTGAACATATGTCTGACCTATTAAATCTATATCTACATTGCAACAAATGAAGTTCATATTTGCTTTATCAAAAAACTACTTATTCATCCACTTCATAGCACTTAAGTGCATACATTTTTTAATTATTGCTTGATTGTAAGTATTTAACTGCTTTTTAAATTGCATGGAGTATTTCAAATAGGATTTTGGTTCCTTTATTAAGTACTTAAACACAATGAATAGATGAATGTTATTGGTAGCAAATGATGGTGTTTAAAGAGTATATTCCCTCAATTAATGATTGAAAAAATCAGAGGTATTTTGATATTCAATTTAATGGGAATTTTACAAGTTTGAACATAAAAATTAATGTTGAACGAATTCTACGATGTTGTCATTATAAATGGCTTTATTTTTATGCGAATGTCCTTAAAATCTGATGCCTCTGAGAACGTTCAGGTTTGTTTATGTTGTTTTTTGTCCTAAAGAAGATACATCACTTAATGTTTGACTTAAAAGAAACATGGCATAAAATAGAAAACCCTTATCTTTTATAATAAATTAGAATTGAAGGTAATTTATTCGTTCGTACGCTATACCCTTTTAAAATACGAGGTTTTACAACCCTAGACGACTCCCACTTTGAAGCTTTTTCCAACTACAAGTTGTATTAAGGGAGACAACCCTTCCAGAAAACATCATATGCTTTTGCGAATTCATAGTGGTATTCTCGAAAGACACTAACCAAATTGTGAACCCGGTTAACTGCTTAATAGTAACATTTCAAAATTGGTTCAAACGTCAATGTTATTTTATATGATACAAATCATACATATATTAGACGAACTATGTGCCAAATGATAATATCAGAATTGTCTAGAATCGCTGGACCCAATACACCTCCTTGTGTTACGCCGCCATGGCAACAAACAATGTCGAGGTGAGACGAGCATCTCGAGACGTGATTCTGATACTACCACTAGTAGCGTTGAGTATCATCCAGGTCTATTTGAATATTATTTTTTCAAGGCAATGTTTATTTTAGGTGATCTCCTTCTTGAAATAATATTTGTTTAATTTGACTAAATCACTTATGCTCCTCTTACCAACCTTCTTTTCATCACAGACAGTAAATTCTTCAAATTGAAACGCGTTTTTAAATAAACTAGATTTAGGCTCTCTAGAAATTCTGAATGTTCTTCGTTGGGTGGAGTTATAAAACTAGGAACATTTGTTAGCGTTAATTGATAGCATTTATCATCTGAATGTATTGTGGTAACGAGGTGGTGGTTAGTGTAGTGTTTGATGTTACCTACCACCCAGTTGTTGCCTATGGGAGTACCACGCCCCACGACCACGCCCATGACAACCTGTTCCCATGAACTCCTTGAGAAACAAACCATTTTATTTGTACCAGGTCAAAGATTGTCTGTGAGTGGTCAATTGTTTCCCCACATTGGATCGAGGAAACATTAATGACATAAATATGAAAGTTTTTTATCACGAGGATATGATTTGACGCAACATGTTACCAGCACGTTGATTCAGATAATATGGTTAGAAATGGGTTTCAATACATCTCAACCACAAGGCACTGGGATTAAACCAATAACTCATAACTGTTTGGCAGACTGTTTCTGAGCTCCTAATGTTACAGATTCAGTTTGAAATTATGATAACAATGTACTGTAATCACCATCAATGCGTATGAGCACATTAGTAGGTGAACTATTTTCATTTGAGCATGAAAGCAGGAAAGACTGTTTATCGTGATAGATCTTTTATCTTGTATTGAAAAAATGTTAAACTATATCAAAATAGTAAGCGACTTTTACCACAACCAAATTACTAATTCGGTCGTTTACTGTCATTTAGTTTTAATCGTTTCACGTGAAAAATGGAGACAACATGTTTCTTTTGGGGAATACACAAATCTTAGTGATACTCATTGTACGTTGATTTGCTCCCTATCAATGGAAAACATAACTGGGCATTTAACTATGAAAATTAAAATTCCGCTAAACTAATTTTTGGCGTATTTCTTTCATTGATAATTTTCGTTGATATGCATCGTATATTAAATGATCCATGCTGTGTGCAACTGTCAATTTAAAGTCAATTTCAAGTGGGATGTCTTTCAATTTAATCATATGAATTTCACTTTGATTATAGGCTGGCGATACCGCTAAGAATGACTCAAACGCCTAATTTGATGTCAAAAGAAACCCTCCTTTAGAATACTTCGGTGATTTAAGAAGTTAAACATGGAGGTCCTGGGCGTTAAATGTCTGGAGGGGTTGGGCATAACGGGACCTGTGGAGGTGTGAATAAAAGATAGACTTCATATGCAAAATTTCAATTTTAGTCATAATGGGCCTTCTAATAAGGGACCTGTCATTTTAAAGTCACGCATCAATTTAATATTTATATCACCATGTTAAGTTGTTTAACCCCTGAGAAAAATGAGTTTTAAATT